ATGTGTGGTATGGAGACCTTCAAAAGTCTTGAGACCCTGTCAGAAACTATACTCACACCAACCCTAAGATGTTACTTTACCCTGTCAAAAAGTACACTCATAATAACCCTGAAGTGTTTGTTTTCCTCTTTCAGAGCTGGAAATTGAACCCAGATCCTTATACATGATAGGCAAGCACTCTGCCATTGGCCTATATACATCTTCACTGCTGTTTCTCTCTTATTCTTTTGGGGGTATACAGAGGGAGGAGTTTTCCAGGGGTTATATGATATGTGACATCACAACAGCTTAGATATAGAAACAGGCAAAAACAGCTATCTTTCCTTAAGTCAGATGTTAAAGGGATTTCCAAAAAATAAATAAGGCAAAGCCACTCATTTTACAATATTACTGTTGTTTGGAAAAATAAAATTATAATTATTTTTAATTAAAAAATGTTGTTGAAGGGGCTAGTGAAGTGGCTTCTAGCATATGTGAGGCCCAGAATATAATGTGTGTGTGTGTGTGTGTGTGTGTGTGTGTGTGTGTGTGTGTGTGTGTTTTATTTAAGGGAGGAACCAGTGAGGGCCAACAAGAAGGGAGAAGGGCAAAGGAGAGGGTAATAGGGGTGAATACAATAGAAGTACACTAAGTATGTGTGAAAACAGCATAATGAAACCCACTAAAAACAGTTAAAAAAAAAAGAGAGAGAGAGAGAGGAGGAGTAAGAGAGGGGGTGCTTTTTTTTTTCTTTTTTGGCAGTGCTGGAGTTTGAACTCAGAACCTCATACTTGTTAGGCAGAGTGCTCTATTACTTGAGCCACTCTACCAGTCCAAGGGGAGCAAATTTGATCCAAGTATATTATATTCATGTATGTAACTATCACAATGAAACCCCTTTGTACAATTAATTTACACCAGTAAAAATTAAAAGTAGCTGGGCACCTGTGGCTTATGCTTGTAATCCTAACTTCTCAGGAGGCAGAGATCAGGAGGATTGTGGATCAAAGCCAGCCCAGGAAAATAGTTCAGTGAGACCCTATCTTGAAAAAAACCCTTCACAAAAAAAAGGGTTGGGAGAGTGGTTCAAGGGGTAGGCCCTGAGTTTAAGCCTCAGTACTACAAAAAAAAAAAAAAGTAATTTTAACAGATAAAGGACTTAAATTTTTTTTTCTTTTTTGGTAGCACTAAGGTTTGAACCAAGGACCTCACACTTGCTAGGCAGGAACTCTACTACTTAAGCCACTCCACCAACCCAAAATAGATAAAGGACTTACTGTCATCTTAACCAGGCACTGGTGGTTCACTCCTATGGTCCTGGCTACTTGGGAGGCTGAAATCAGAAGGATCATGGTTCAGGGCCAGCCTGGGCAAATAGTTCATGAGACCACCCTCATATCCAAAAACCTGAACAAAATGGGCTGGAAGTGTAGCTCATGAGGTGGAGTCCCTGCTTTGTAAGTACAAAGCCATAAGTTCAAACCCTAGCCCTACTAAAAAAGAAAAAAAGGAAGGAAAAAGAGAGAAAAGACTTATTGTTACCTTTAATGAAATAATAATAAATATTTGAATATTTTTCTTTCTTTTTTGGGGGAGCAGTACTGGGGTTTGAACTCAGGGCTTTGTACTTGCTAAACAGGTTCTCTACTGTTTGAGCCAAAAGTCTAGCCCACCATCATTTTTCAATTTTAATTTCTGATCTGGTAAGTGTCAGTAGATAAGTAGAAATTCTGTTCCATCCTCAACAGTTGAAGGGTGTAAGAGCCCTAAAGTAAAAAGATTTGAGAATCACTACAACTCTAAGTGGTGACTTCAGGGAGAGAACATTGGGGTTGTAAGATGGCAGATGGGAGAGATGACATCTGAACAGAGTTTTGAAGATCAGGTGATGGAAAGCAGGAGAGAGTGCACAAAAATAAGGAGGTGTAAAACAAAAGGATGTGTATTTCCAGTAATCTGAGCCATTTGATGTTTTTATTATTATTATTATTTTATTATTCATATGTGCATACCAGGCTTGGGTCATTTTTCCCCCCTGCCCCCACCCCCCCTTACCACCCACTCCGCCCCCTCCCTTCCCCCCCACCCCTCAATACCCAGCAGAAACTATTTTGCCCTTATTTCTAATTTTGTTGTAGAGAGAGTATAAGCAATAATAGGAAGGAACAAGTGTTTTTGCTGGTTGAGATAAGGATAGCTATACAGGGCATTGACTCACATTGATTTCCTGTGCATGGGTGTTACCTTCTAGGTTAATTCTTTTTGATCCAACCTTTTCTCTAGTTCCTGATCCCCTTCTCCTATTGGCCTCAGTTGCTTTTAAAGTATCTGCTTTAGTTTCTCTGCGTTAAGGGCAACAAATGCTAATTTTTCAGGTGTCTTACCTATCCTCACCCCTCCCTTGTGTGTTCTCGCTTTTATCATGTGTTCAAAGTCCAATCCCCTTGTTGTGTTTGCCCTTGATCTAATGTCCACATATGAGGGAGAACATATGATTTTTTGGTCTTTTGGGCCAGGCTAACCTCACTCAGAATGATGTTCTCCAATTCCATCCATTTACCAGCGAATGATAACATTTCGTTCTTCTTCATGGCTGCATAAAATTCCATTGTGTATAGATACCACATTTTCTTGATCCATTCATCAGTGGTGGGGCATCTTGGCTGTTTCCATAACTTGGCTATTGTGAATAGTGCCGCAGTAAACATGGGTGTGCAGGTTCCTCTGGAGTAACCTGTGTCACAGTCTTTTGGGTATAGCCATTTGATGTTGCTGCAGAGTGAAGTGTAAGAGATGAGAGGGCAGGAGATGAAGCCAGGAGGAGGCAGGCATTTTGGAAAGAGACTACAATGCTGTGCTGAAGTGCTTGGACTTTATTCTACAAGAACCACAGGGTTTTAAGAACCACACAGTTTTAAGCAGTGGGAGGTTATGGCCATATCATTTCTAGGCAGCTGCAATATCTTTGAGCCAAGAGCAGAGCTTGGGAGGCCTCACAGAAAAGTTTACAAAGTAGAACCAAATTAGTAGACTTCAGTGACTAGGTCTGGGGAACTAGTAAAAGAGAAAAACTGTGTCCGTTTTCTGGTTGACACACCAGTTGTAGCACCAATGAAGAAAACCACTCTGGAAAAAAAGAAAGGAAGTGGTCTAGGGCCACTTCAGGGTGTGGAGTGCTTGCCTAGCATGCTAAAGGCCCTGAGTTCAATCTGTAGCACAACAAACAAAAACAACAACAAAAAACCCACAACTGCAATTTCCATAGTCTTCCCCATCTTGATTGACTGATGGCAATGTCATCTTCCAAATGCTCAGTCCTGAGGCCCTGGAAACATCTTAACTTCTCTTCCGTACCCCACAGTGGCTCCACCTCCAAAACATATCCAGAACTGAACTATGTCACACTACCTCTACTTCTGCCACTCTACTCCAAACCACCATTATTTCTCTTCTGGGCAACATTTCCTAACGCTCTCCTATGTTCCGAATGCACTAGTTATGAACATTTCAGCCTCTACTGAAAAGCAGGCAATGGTTTCCCATTTCACTCAGCAAATGCCAAAAGTCTCACATGATCCCTTTTAATTATTCTTTTATCATTATTTAAAATATGGAACACTCTACAAATTTGTGTGTCATCCTTGCACAGGGGCTAATCTCCTCTGTACTGTCCCAATTTTAGTATGTGGAAGTGAGCACTATTTTGCTCTTTCTCACGACTTCTACTTTCCTACTACTCTTTCTTCACTGGCCCTCCCCAGTCACACCAGACTTCCTTGTTGGTTCTCATATGGTTTAGGCACATTTCTGCCTAGGGCTTTACATTGCCCAATGACTCTGTTTTGTTTATATTAGATTAGGTAGAATAAAGAAATAAATTGCAGTTTGTCTCTCCACCTCCTAATCTCTTACTCTGTTTTTTAATATACTTACCCCCATCTAACATATATTGCAGCTTTTTTTTTTCCCCCAGCACTGGGGTTTGAACTCAGAGCCTCACACTTGCTAGGCAGGCACTCTACCACTTGAGCCACTATTCCAGCCCTATATTGCAACTTTTTAAATTGTATTATTGTTTGGTGGCCAAATGTATCTCCACCCCGGAAGAATGTATGCTCCATAGGCATAAGAATGTTGATCTGTTTTGTTCTGACTAATCTCATGTATGCCCTAGACAGAATCTGGAGTAAAGTAAGTGCTCAATAAATACCTGAAAAAAAAAATCTGAATGCATACATGGACAGAAGGAAAGAAGCCAGGAAGATGAGGACTTTAAGTGATTGAGGCAGTGAAGGAAGGTAGATGACATGATCGTACTACGCACAGATGAAATGACTGTAGTGCTTCTGAGCTGTGCCACGTCCTCATGGAACCATGTAGAGCCTGCTTTCCCCACCCCCTGCCCTCTGCCCCTTGGTTGTCCCTACAGAACAAAAATTGTTCAAATTACTTCACAATCCCTATTGTTCAAATAAGTGCCTTGCATAAGTGTTCAGAAGAGGTTGGTAGGTAAATGAACAAATCAATGTGTCTACGTCCTCAACTTTTTCTTATTTTTTTTTTTTTGGAGCTCGACCTTGGGGATTCACAGTTGCTAGGCTGTGGCTCTACCATTTGAGCCACACCACCAGCCCTTTTTTGGCTTGTTTTTCAGGTAGGGTGTCCGGTTTTCAGGTAGGGCGTCCGGTTTTCAGGTAGGGCGTCCGGTTTTCAGGTAGGGCGTCCGGTTTTCAGGTAGGGCGTCCGGTTTTCCGGACAGCTCGGGTCTGTGATCCTTCCGATCTCTGCCTGCCATGTAGACGGGATTAGACCGGAACCATGGCGCCCGGCTCCCCAACACTATCATGTTAGCACAGAGGAGACTCCAGGTCTCATTCGCTTTTTGTAAACCTCAACCTCTCCACCGCCCATTCTACAGCTACACCTTAAACCTAAACCCAGAACTAACTACATAATCACGCTGCGTATTGAGGGAAAGAGGCGAGTTTAGCCGGCATCCGGTCACGTGGCTTAACTGGGCGGGACGTAAAGTTCATATCCCAGCGTCCTTTGAACCTACTTCCTTTCTATTCCTTCCGGTCGTCCAAGATGTCGAAGCGGGGTGAGGTTTTGGGCTCTAAGGGATCCTTTTCCATCGGTCGCGCGGTGACTGCCGGCCTCTCCCGCAGTGGCGGCCCTGGGCAGCTGGGACGCTTTGCTCTCCTCCGGGCCGGAGAGGGAGAGGATGGGCACAGCCACAGCACTGGAAGGGTTCCGAAACTGGCGGGTCGGGGGAAGCCTGAGCGTTGAGCTGATGGAATCCGTACATAATTCTAAACCAAACCTGGTGAGATAGCTCCGCACACAGGGCTGCACTAGTAGGTGGCTGCTGGCCTGACTTAAACGACAATTTAGGGGATTTGCGTGGTCTCTCGGCTTGCTAGAGGAACTGCCTGTTGCAGAAGTTTGAGCGAGGATGAATTCCAGGCCCCCTTGTCTCGACATCAGGCTGGTAATAGCGAGGGGTCGGCTATATTCCGTGAGAACAGAGTGGCATACGGGCAGGGCGTAAGTGGAATCCTATGGGAGGCGAACCTGCAGCGTACTGCCTTCCAAAGCATGTGCAGTGGATTTATAGCTTGAAAGTATGAGGGGGTGCTTATTTATTCTTTCCTATCCGCAGGACGTGGTGGATCCTCCGGAGCGAAATTCCGGATTTCCCTGGGTCTTCCGGTAGGAGCTGTGATCAACTGTGCAGACAACACCGGTGAGGCATTTGACTGCACCCTGACACCCTCCCCCTTTTAAAAGCACTCAGTGGGCCTTTTGCTAATGACCCATTGAGCCGTCAAGAAGGGGCAGAGTAAAAACACCGCTTTTGGGTGAAGTGGCAGCATGTGTTGTTTTGCTTCAATCGGTGGTGTGACAGATATCTACCTTGGGCAGTTAGCGGAGGGAGAGGTTTTGCATGTGTTGGAGAGATGTTATATAATAGTAGAAGTGCCTAACAGACTCAAAAAATCGTGTTTTTTGGTTTTGTTTGCATCCTTTTATAGGAGCCAAAAATCTGTACATCATCTCTGTGAAGGGGATCAAGGGACGGCTGAACAGACTTCCTGCTGCTGGTGTAGGTGACATGGTGATGGCCACAGTTAAAAAAGGCAAACCAGAGCTAAGAAAGAAGGGTAGGTAAACATGGAATCCTCTTTTTATCTCTGGAGGGTGGTTGAGATTCTCCAGTGAGTGGAAAAGATGGTGTTTATATTTTACAGTTTTCAATTTCTCCCCATGCTTGTTCCTTGAGAGACTCTGCGAGTTGATCTGCTCCTACAGTCTTAGGGACCATCATTTTTCTCCTTAGTCTTCTGTGCAAGCTGAAGTCCCAGAGTATCTAAATTGCTGATTCTCCAGCTCAGTTCACTAGACACTTGCAGAGCACATTTCTTAATGAAAGTTAGTTCTTTGCCGATTGCCTAGCTATGAATACATACAGTGGTACTGAGTGCTTATAAATTTTGATAGTGGCATAGAATAGGTGAAATTACAGCATTAAAAACTCTTAACCACCATAGACAAGTGTTTTTTGTTGTTGTTGTTTTTTCTGTTCTTTTTTGGTGCTGGGATCTAACCCAGGGCCTCACACATGCTAGGCAAGCGCTGTACCACCAAGCTGCATCCCAGCCCCATAGGCAAGTTTGCTTTTCTGGAATTACTGATTTGAAAGGCTACAGTGGTGCTCCTATACTTTCTCAAGTGATTGGGAAATCCAGGTTAGGGCAGTGAGTGTTTTGGCCTGTTAAGCACTTGGTAAGTACAGAAGAGCAGACGGTGTTTTTCAGAGGTATACTTTAAAGTTGATTGTGTTTTATCAATCATACTGACTAAAGACAGGCTGTTGAAAAATTTGCCATGGGACTCCATAAAACTAAAATGCTTCTGCTCAACAAAAGAAATGGTCTCTAAACTGAAGAGAACACCCACAGAGTGGGAGAAAAATATTTGCCAGCTACGCATCAGATAAAGGACTGATAACCAGAATATATAGGGAACTTAAAAAACTAAATTTTCCCAAAATTAATGAACCAATAAAGAACTGAGTAAGTGAACTAAACAGAACTTTCTCAGAAGAAATTCAAATGGCCAAAAAACACATGAAAAAATGCTCACCATCTCTAGCAATAAAGGAAATGCAAATTAAAACCACACTAAGATTCCACCTCACCCCTGTTAGAATAGCCATCATCAGCAACACCACCAACAACAGGTGTTGGCGAGGATGTGGGGAAAAAGGAACCCTTTTACACTGTTGGTGGGAATGTAGACTAGTACAACCACTCTGGAAGAAAATTTGAAGGCTACTTAAAAAGCTAGACATTGATTTACCATATGATCCAGCAATACCACTCTTGGGGATATACCCAAAAGACTGACACAGGTTACTCCAGAGGCACCTGCACATCCATGTTTATTGCGGCACTATTCATAATAGCCTAGTTATGGAAACAGCCAAGATGCCCCACCACTGAAGAATGGATCAAGAAAATGTGGTATCTATACACAGTGGAACTTTATGCAGCCATGAAGAAGAACGAAATGTTATCATTCATTAGTAAATAGATGGAATTGGAGACTATCATTCTGAGTGTGCCTGGCCCAAAAGACCAAAAATCGTGTGTTCTCCCTCATATGCAGACATTAGATCAAGGGCAAACACAACAAGGGGATTGGACTTTGAACACATGATAAAGTGAGAGCACACAAGGGAGGTATGAGGATAGGTAAGACACCTAAAAAATTAGCTAGCATTTGTTGCCCTCAACGCAGAGAAACTAAAGCAGATACTTTAAAGCAACTGAGGCCAATAGGAGAAGGGGACCAGGAACTAGAGAAAAGGTGAGATCAAAAATAATTAACCTAGAAGGTAACACACATGCACAGGAAATCAATTCGAGTCAACTCCCTGTACAGATATCCTTACCTCAACTAGCAAAAACCCTTGGTCCTTACTATTACTGCTTATACTCTTTCTTCAACAAGATTAGAGGTAAGGGCAAAATAGTTTCTGCTGGTTAGTGAGGGGGGGAGGGGGTGGGGGAAAGGGGGAGAAATGACCCAAACATCGTATGTACATATGAATAAAAAAAAAGAAGGAAAAAACCCTTGACCGAACACAGGTCAAAGACAAAAAAAAAAAAATTTGCCATGGTTGGTTATAAGTCTGATAGAAACTAAATCAGGGAGCTGCTGGTGGGAACCTAGGTGAGGCATCAGAGCACTTGTCATTTGTGCTGTCCTGCCTGGCTGCAGAACTTCTGACATTGAGTAAATTTTTACTTTTTTTCAGCTCCTGTGCCACCTTAAGTCCTGTCTCTATTCAGGGTCATACTGTTCTTATGGACAAGTCCTAGCTGCCACCCCTTGCCTGCCTCCTCCATAATCCCTAATGGACTTTAGCATTTTGGTTAGGGATCTGCCTTTGCTCCCTTTAATACCACTTTGAGGGCATAATAGCTCTGTAATGGTGATTAAGCTTTATTAGTCAGTGTGCTGGGACAAGAACACATCTTAAAGGGGTTTCTCCTCTTCTCAGAACACTTCCTGGGTCTGTTTGATGGCCTGGGGTGCTGTCAGGGAAGAGCAAAGCATGTGACCCTTACTTTTGGGTGAGATGACAGCAGGATTTACTGTTGGTCTCTGTCAGTAATGGAACACAACAATTTGGAGTTTATTTGTGCTACAGGGGTTTGAACTTCAGGCCTCACACTTGCTGGGCAGGCACAATATTACTTGAACCAGGTCCCCAGCTCTTTTTGCTTTATTTTTCTGGTGGTAACTGGGTTTGAACTCAGGGCTTCGTGATGGCCAGGCAGGTGTCTGCAATTTGCAGCACCCCCAGCACTTTTTTGTGTTGAGTACTTTCCAGATAGGGTCTTTTGAATTATTTGCTCTGGCTGACTTTGGATCCTCCTGACCTGCCTCCTGAATAGCTAGGATTACAGGCCTGAGCCACTGGTTTATTTTTCCAATAGGAACTGTCTCTTTGACCCTTGTGTTTGCTAGGTGAATGAATTTATACATAACAGACACAGAAGATAAAAGGGGGACAGGACTTAAACTCTTGGGTTTGTAACTTTCTTTTAACAGAAGGTTCAGTAAATATTAGTTACCATTGGTACTTGGTGTTAAAGATAATCAAAATCCCTGTCTTAGACAGGCACTCTACCACTTGATTCATGTCCCTCAGCAAAATTCCTGTCCTTAGAGAGTTCAGGTGTTTGAACTTGAATGTGAAGGTATGTTTCTATTTTAGGAGGAAAATTTGAACTCCAAGAGATGAGGTAACTTGCTGATCTAAAGCTGGCACCTGGCCAGCACAGGCTTTTTTTGAGACCCCCATCTCAAAACAAAAAAAAAAATCACAAAAAAAAGGGCTGGTGGAGTGGCTCAAAGTGTAGTCCCTGAGTTCAAGCCCCAGTTCCATCAAAGGAAAAAGAAATAGAAATTTTTGGTGGTACAAGTAGAATTTCAGTTAGCCAACTCATAGACCTTCATAGCTGCTTCAGGAAATGATAATTGTTAACATTTTGTTACTGTCCTTTCCTGACATCTATGCAAAGTGAGCTTGTCTGCTATTACTTATATAAATGAACCAGTACCATCCCATAATCTGCTCTTGCTTCACAAATGACTACCCTGTGTGTAAGCAGTTACAGATAAATCATTTTTAGTATTTATGTGCTCTGCATTTGAAAAGTTAAAAGAGCTAGACACCAGTGGCTCACACCTGTAATCTTAGCTACTCAGGAGGCAAAGATCGGGAGGATTGTGCTTCACAGCCATACTGAGCAAATAGTTTGCTAGACCCTATCTTGAAAAAAAAAAAAACCTTCAAAAAAGGGCTGGTGGAGTGACTCAAAGTATAGGCCCTGAATTCAAGCCTTTGTACCATTTTAAAAAAACAAATAGTTAGAAGGGCATGCCATAAGGGAGAGTATTGTAAGGTCCTAAACATGCTCAGGAAGTTCAAGTTCTATATACGTGCACAGATTTTCTTTTGGAATATTGGCAGGTAAATGAGTTAATACTGGTGGTAAGATCTGACACATAGTACGTACATCTTTATCCCCATCAAATTCCTGGGGCAGGGGTTTTGATACTTAGCGGTGGAATATTGTCTAAGGAGGGGTAATGACTTGACCTTCCTAGGTGAAGTGGGGGGAAATGTGGACTGCACTTAGTAAGTTTCTTATTTGTCCTCCCAAAAGAGAAGATTTATACTTAGAAGAAAATGATTGCACAGTTTGTTGGCCATTGCTGTTAGAATGAAAAACTAACAGAGGGGGTGGGGGAAGGGGGGAGAAATGACCCAAACCTTGTGTGCACATATGAATAAAATAAATTTAAAAGAATGAATAACTAATAATGGTAGCCATACATTATGTCCAGGAGTATATACTGCTTGCTTTTGTGATGGCCCTAGGAACTGACAGATTAGTAACTGCTGTCCTTGTCCCCTCCTTAGTACATCCAGCAGTGGTTATTCGACAACGAAAGTCATACCGGAGAAAAGACGGCGTGTTTCTTTATTTTGAAGATAATGCAGGAGTCATAGTAAACAATAAAGGCGAGATGAAAGGTGAGAAAGCAGTTGACATAGGTGTCTTAGGCATGATGATTTGGTCTATAGTATAAGTGAGGAACCCCTGATGTCTCACCTGTCACCTCATCTGTTTTTATACAGGTTCTGCAATCACAGGACCAGTTGCAAAGGAGTGTGCAGACTTGTGGCCCAGGATTGCATCCAATGCAGGCAGCATTGCATGATTATTGGCTGTATTTGTAAAAAAAAAAAAGAGACTCATTAAAAAGTATTTTGCTGGGGGCTGGCAGCGTGTCCCAAGTGGTAGAGCACCTGCCTACTCAGTATAAAGCCCTGAGTTCAAACCCCTGTACCACCAAAAAATAAAAATAAAAAAATAAAAAGTATTTGGCCTCAGTGCTTGCTTTCCTGTTTTAAGTTTTTTGAGTTTAGACTTTTGAAACCCGTTAACCATTTCCCTCTTATATTTGTGGTCCTGTGGATCAGTCCAACCCAGGACTTTGCTAGAGGAAGTATAATCCCATTGAGCTGCAGCCCCGAGGATGACCATATATAATCCATTTTAGAAACTTTTGTAATGGTGGTTGGCCACCATTAATGGAATTACACCTGAAGGTATCAAGATTGTTCATATTGGGATCAATAATTTGGTAGAAAGTTGAACCAAATAAGGCCTTTCAGACTATGTTCTTAATTCATATCTGTATTTGGAAACTGCCTTGTGTGTTCTGATCTGAAAGTTGGGTATAATTTAAGGCTAAAGATTACAATGTATGTGAAGACCCTGGTACTTGTTTACTTGGTGAGATGACATAGCTTATTTTTTCTTCCCCTTTGGATTCGTATTAAACCAAGTTCCTCGAGGATGTGCATACCCAGCACTAGATAACTATTACCCTTTTGTCTCTGAGACTAAGTATGGTATATACCAGAACTAGATAGCAGAGATTATCTACTTGGGAGGATTTTTGGGGTTTTTTTTGGTGGGACTGGGGTTTAGGAGTACTATATTAATGAACTAATAGAAGTCTGGGCATTATATACTTTTGCAATCTTAGCTCAACAGGCTGAGGCAGGAAGATCTGCAAGTTCGAACCATACGTCAAGTCAAACCCTAGTCTGCTGTTTGAAATCTGGCTTGGTTTTTGTGGCAGTTCTGGGTATTGAGCTCAGGCCCTTGCACTTTGAAGGCAAGCTCTCACCACTTGAACTACATCTCCGGTTCTGTGGTTTTGTTCTTTTTGAGGTAGGGTCAACTATATATATAGCTTGGGCTGCTACTTCAAATTAATTTTAAAGATTCATTTTCTTGACTTAAACCATGGTATTAACATTTCATTAAAATATTTACTTTTTTTCTTTTTGGCCGGGTGCCAATGGCTCACCTATACTCCTAGCTACTCAGGAGGGAGAAATCAAGAGAATTGCAGTTTGAAGCCAGCCCAGGGAAATAGTTGAGACCCCCTATCTCAATAATACCCAATACAAAAAGGCTGGTGGAATGGCTCGAGGTAAGACCAGAGGCCCTGGGTTCAAAACCCAGTATTACAAAAAAATTTTTTTCCTTTTTATTTGATGGGACTGGGGTTTGAACTAAGGACTGCAGGCTTGAGCCACATCTCCAGTCTGTTTTAATCTGGTTATTTTGGAGATGGGTTACCACAAACTGTTTGCCAGGTCTATCCTCAAACTGCAATCCTCCCAAGTAGCTAGGATTACAACTTTGAGCCACCAAGGCCTAGCTTTTTTTCTCTTTGCTGTGCTGGGGTTTGAACTCGGGGCCTATACCTTGAGCCACTCCACCAGCCCCTTTTTGTGATTTTTTTTTGAGATAGGGTCTCGACTGTTTTCCTTGGCTGGCTTCAAACTGATCCTCATCTCTTCCTCCTAAGTATCTAGGATTACAGGTGTGAGCCATAATGCCTGGCTCTATAGTTTTAATCTCAATTTATAGGAGCTTGCCTGTCATAACAAGAAGGATTAAATATGCTCAGCAAAGAATTGCCAGGATTAGTGATTTACATAGGTATAAAGCAACCTTTTTCTAATATGAAAATGCATGTGCCTTCATATAAAAAGCAAGTAGAAAAGTAAATCTCAGGTGTAGCTCACATTTATATGCACCCACTCAAGAAGCTGAGGCTGAAGGCTGGTGAAGTGGCTCAGGAAATAGCGTGCCTGCCTAAAAAGCATGAGGCCTGAGTTCAAACCCTAATACTGCCAAAAAGAAACCTAAATATTAGCTGGGTACCGGTGGCTCACGCCTGTAATCCAAGCTACTTGTGAAGCTAAAATAAGTCAGATTGTGGTTCAAAGGCAGCCAGGGCAATAGTTTGAGAGAGTCTACCTCCAAAATACACATCTGTAATGCTAGCTACTCAGGAGGATCTCAGGCAAAGCAAGATCCTATGTAGAAAATACCCAACACAAGACAGAGCTGGCATAGTGACTCAAGTAGTAGAGCCTCTGCCAAGCAAGCATGAGATTTGGGGTTCAAAGCCTAGTACCTCCAAGCCAGGTGCCTGTGGCTCACACCTGTAACCCTAGCTACTCAGGAGGCAGAGATCAGGAGGATTGTGGTTCAAAGCCAACCAGGGCAAATAGTTCTAGGAGACCCTATATTGACAAAACCCATCACAAAAAGGGCTGGTGGAGAGGTGCAAGGTGTAGGCCCTGAGTTCAAATCTCAGTACAGCAAAAACAGTCCCGTACCTCCTAAAAATAAAAACCAGAGCAAAATGGACCAGAGGTGTGGCTCAAGTGATAGAGCTGCTTTGCAAGCAGGAAGCCCTGAGTTTAAACCCCAGTCCCAACAAAAAAATTAGGCTGAGCTGGAGGTCTGGAGCTGGAGCCACTCTGGTGGGTTTAGCAAGACCCTAACAGGAAGGTTGGGAAAGAGGTTAGTGGTAGAGGGCTTGCGTAGAATGTTTGAGACTCAAAGTTCAATCCCCAGTAGACTTAAAAAAAAAAGCCTCCCCCCAAGCCTGTCCACTTTAAGTGCTTTGGTGGTTTGATATGTAAAGCATTCACACAAGGGTGTATTATTGGGGAGTGGGGGAGGAGCACTGGTGAAATATAGTCACCTGTTGTCATAACAACCAGAGAAAACTTCACACTTTACTGTATCCTACCATAATTATGTGTATATATGTATATACAGCTAACTGTATTTGAGAAACTTTATATAAATTTAAACTTCTAACTGTAAAGTAGATGTCTCTCAGCTCTCTGGTCAATTCTGGATACAAACTTTTCCCTGGGGCTCTGCTGGGGAAATAGCATATAATAAAGCATGAGAGCAGAGGACATCCACCTTGCTCTGAAAGGATAACTTGGGGAGCCGTATAGGGGAACGCTCAAACCGCCTATATTCAAGTAATGCTCCCCCCCTGCTATCTCCCCGTCCTTGCCTAGTCCGTGTCCTCTGGACCACGCAAGTAACCTCCCTGCCAGCCTAAGAACCCACCCAGTCAGCGGAGGGTGAAGGAGGATAATAGGGTTTGTGTCGTAGGGGATCCTTCACACCGGCCTGTAACAATATGGAACAATTCGTAACAGTGCGGTGGGAGCCCCCATCTAGGGCCCTCATCTTCCGCCAGAAAGGCCCTTGGAGGCTGTGCTGGTTGGAATGGAGCGTTTGTACGAGTGTCCCCTGCGACTGGAGAAGGGCTTCATTTTGGATGGGGTAGCCGTTAGCACAGTTGCCCGAGCTTACAGTCTCACGAGGCCCAAGCTGTGGTCGGCAATTCCGCCCTACAACGCACAGCAGGACAACCACGCCCGCCGCTACTTCCAGAGCCGCGTAGTTCCACCCCTCCTGCGGAAAACCGAACAGGTAGGGGGGCCTCCCCCAGGACCCCACCATTTCCGCCCGCGGTCTGGCCACGTCGGCGGACGTCTTCCCAGTGTCGCCTCTCGACAAATCGGGGGGTCGCACTCGAGTCCCCCCAGCACCACGGAGCGTCCCGCACTCCCCGCCCGCAGTTATGAAAATAAAACCCGAGAAGTGGAGGAGACCGATGGCGGGTGCTGAGCTCACAGGACCGCCTCCAGCCCCAACACGGTCTTAGTCTCATTTCTAGTTCCGGTGAGGCTGGGAGCAGGGCTTAAAGCCTGTCTCTGTGCAACAAATAGGTTTCTTTGTTCTTTATGACGTCATAGACCCGCCCTTTAGGGTGACCTCACTCTGCAAAATCTCTAAAAACCTCAATACTGCGTGTGATCTCAATGACCAAGACAAAAGGAATTGTGTTGACCTGCCGACAGGGCGCTTCCCGAATTGTGACGTCACAGTTGCAGGGGTGGGGTTCAAGGGACTCCACCTCTTCCCCCAATTCCACGGACTCTGTTCCTCCCCAGGCCGGATCAAAGACTTTGAGGCTGATGACTGGTGTTGGCTGATAGTTCCATTTTTTTCCCCAACACTTTCTTTTTGTTTTTTTTATGGGCGTGGGGGTATCTCGCTGTGTTGCCCAGGCTGGTCTCTCAAACTCCTATACTCAAACCATTCTCCTGTCGCAGCCTTCTGAGTATCTGGGACTTGAGCCACCGTGCCAAGCTTCCCAACACTGTGATGTGGGAAAGGAAAAGGACTTATGGGAGTACTACATGAACAAAAAAAAATCGTTTTTGAGCACATACACTTGTGGGTCTATTCATGTAAGTTTTTGTGATTCTGGGGTTTGAGTTCAGGGCCTCACGGTAGGCAAGTGCCATTTCGTCAGCCATCCCTATCTAGAAAATATCTAACACAAAAAAAGGCTGGTGGAATGGCTCAAAGTGATACAGTGCCTGCCTTGCAAAAGTGAGGCCCTGAGTTCAAACCCCAGACCCCCTCCCCCCAGCACACATAGGCACAAAAAAGCCCTTATTGTGCCAGACCAGGCCCTTTATCTGAACTAAGTCACTAATCTCTTAACATTTCCTTTAAAGATGAGGAAAAATTGAGAACCAGGGAAGTTGTGTAACTGGTCCAAGATCTCACCTCTTGCTAGTGGTAGAGCTGGAGTTGGAATTCACTCTGGCAGAAAAGACTGAGCTCTTTTTTTTTTTTTTTTTTTGTGGGGTGGGGATGCAGCTTGAACTCAAGGACTACACCTTGAGCCACTCCACCAGCCCTTTTTTGTGTTGGGATTTTTTGAGATAGAGTCTCTTGAACTATTTGTCCAGCTTGGCTTTGAAACATGATTTTCCTGATCTCTGCTTCCTAAGTAGTTAAGATTACAGACATGAACCACTGGCGCCCAGAGAGACAGAGCTCTTAACTGCCAAGCTATCCTGCCTCTCCAGCAGTGGCCTATTAAGTGCATTTATTTATTTATTTATTTAGGTGATAATGGGGATAGCCTCTCACTTGCTAGGCAGGTGCTCTACTTGAGCCCCATCCCCAACCCTTCAAGCATAATCTGTGCCCCAGTCACCTCTGGCTCTGTCCTCTTTCCCCTACCACAACGAGTCCTTAAAGTGTACACCCTACACCCTATACCTGAGCATGGTGACTGACAGTCTTCTGTATTCTCTTCTTCATTTTCAGGATCACGGTGGCACGGGAAGGGATGGCTGGATAGTCGATTATTTCCACATTTTTGGGCAAGGACAGAGATACCTCAACAGGAGAAACTGGGCAGGGGCAGGTAAGTGCTACCTTGATGTACAGTCTCACATGGTCCCATTGAGGAAGAGTAGTGTGCACCCCATAACTTAGCAAAATTGGGCCACAGAGAGACCTGGTGGGGAGAAGGCCAAGGGAAATGTATCCTCCCAGCTTTTCTTCTTAATCCATGAGCAAGGGTGCCACAGTGGTCCTAATATTCAACCACTGAGAATTCTAGTGTATTTCAGGAAACTTTTACTCCTACATGATCCCCATGTTACAGCTGGGGTAATAGCTGTCTGCATGAAGTGATTTACTAAGGAGGGCTGAGCTGGAATTGGAATTCCTGTCTGTCCACTCTAAAGTCAGCATTCCCTACACTGTTCCACAAGCAGGCTGTGTCTTGCTCATTTTTCAGGCTGAGTTTAGCAACAATGGGAAAGGGAAGGTTGAGATTTTTTGGCAGGGTAAAATCTCCTCCTACCCAAATTCCGCCACCCTTTGGCTACACAATCCTTTACATCATGTGGCCAGATTGATTCATTCATTCTTTCCAGATGGGTCAGAGGCAAGGGTAAAAATTTCTCCCTCTCCTGGGAGCAAGGCAAGTTAAGCCAAGTCTAGAAGTTTCTGGCCCCTCCTACATATATCTCAGCACATACTATTCATGATCATTCTGCAGCTCCTGCTGGGGTAGGATTTCATTCCTAGAAAGCCTGTGTCTCCTGGACCTCCCCAGCCCTTGGGGACTCAGTTTTGAGTCATCTGAGGACTCCACTAGGGTGGCACCCCATGCTGCCTACAGGAGTAGGGAAAGCAAGAGAGTGCTGCTGCCTGAAGACTCAGCCTCTATCCCTGCCCCACAAGGGCATTCTGTCCAGCAGGTGACCGGGCATGACCAGTACAATGCTGACCTGAAGCTGATAACTGTTGGGTTAAATGGCCGGTTTGGTTACCGCCGAAACACCCCAGCCCTCCGCCAGCGCCCATCTGTGTTCGGAGAGGTCACCCAGTTCCCTCTCTTCTGACAGCATCGCTGCCCTTCACAGCCTTTGACCTGAATTTCTAAGACACATGTTTAGATGAATGCTCAATGTTATTTTATATTAAAAAACATTTTATTCATGTCCCCAAGTGCACTATTTCTTTCCTAAGGTGGCAGGAAGGGGCAAACTGGTTTCTCCACTCATTTTCTCTACCTCTGGAGGGGGGGAAGAGGGGCAAGGGATTCTCTGGTCCACCCACTTGCCTTCTATGCCAGTAAGGGGCCTCTCTGTCTCCCCCTTACCCCCCCACCCCCCCGCCTCGGGCTGGTATGATCAGAAGGAACTACACTTTCTTTCCCAGTGTCAAAGATTGAACCCAGGGCCTAATGCATGCTAGGCCAGTGTTCTGCCCCCAGCCCTTGGCAACACACTCTTAACCCTCAACAAAGCACTTCAACAAATATCAGCAGGGCTGTGTCAGAAGCTGGTTACTATTTCCATCAAGAACAGAGGAGGGGGCCAGGCACCGGTGGCTCATGCCTGTAATCCTAGCTACTTGGGAAACTGAGATCGGGAAACTGAGATCGGGAGAATCACAGTTCAAGGCAGCTTGGGCTAATAGTTCACAAGCCTCATCTCCAAAATAACCAGAACAAAATGGTTGAGGTGTGGCTCAAGTGGTAGAGCACCTGCTTTGTAAGCAGGAAGCCCTGAGTTTGAACCCCAGTTCTACCAAAAAAACACCAAAACAAAACTGAGTGGTAGTGCATTCCTATAATCTCAGCACTTGGGAGGCTGAGGATCATGAGTTCGAGACCAGCCTGAGCTACATATGGAGACTGTCTCAAAACAAACAAAAACCCAAACCCAAAAAAAAAAAAAAAAAAAAAAACACGAAAAAATGCCCCCAAACAACATGGAGTAGAAGTGGACAGTAGTGTAGAAGGCACTGGTCTTTGGATGTCCTGAGATATCAAATTATCTCATCCAAAAATCTTGACATCTTACTTCTCCTTTCCACCCTCAAATCATCAAGAAGGAAGGAGGTGAACAAGATATTTTGGATATTAGTGCAAGGATTCTGACACAAAATTAACAGGATTCTTCTTTACTATGTCAGTTTTCTTTTCAGCTAGTTTCCAGGATGTCAGTTTTTAGTGTCCCCACCCAGTTTATTGGAGGCCAGGAGAATAGCCAAAGCAGATGATGGATACAAAGGAGGTGAGGCCTCAGAGTACAAAGCTTGCCAGAGCTTTAATGTGGGTGGAACCATATCCCATTGACTCACCATAAGTGGACAAGGAAGGGAAGCATGGGGGTATAGCTCAGGGGTAGAGCATTTGACTGCAAATCAAGAGGTCCCTGGTTCAAATCTAGGTGCCCCCTTCCTTTACAATTCTTTTATTTCCATAATGGGTATAAAAGTAAATCCTGTCAGCCACAGTATCACTAGAAAAGACAATGAACTTTTTTTTTTTTTTTTTGGTTCTGGGGCTTAAACTCAGGGCCTTGCACTTACCACATAGGCTCCCAACTACACTCCCAGCCCAAGACAAGGAACTTTCAATGCATTCATGTCCCAAAATATTTGTTCCTCCCACATTCCAAGGGATTGGTAAAATAAAAGTCCCCCAGGAAACTGAGGTTGGTGCTAAGATCTGTGAACACAATTTGCCAATTGGATGTATGACAGAGTAAAGGCAAAAATGTTTATTCCATATGCAATTTTTGAAAGTTTAGCACATACAAAGCTAAAGGGGGGGGTGTCCCTGTTCTCAGGGTGCTTTTGGTTTTTGCGGGAGGTGATGCATTCACACCGAGCTGTCAGAGAAGAGCATTTGCTTGCTGTAACTACAGAAGTTTTAAACACAAATAATCTCAGTTTGGAGATGGACTGTAAGCAAAACCAAACAAAAAAACACATTTTCTAGAAGTTTCTAACCAAAGGTTTCCTACAATTCAAAGGGATATTTCTGCCTGAATTGAAGTGCATCATTAACTTGTTCCCTGGGTCACTGTATAATCCCTTCTCTATATGGTGAGGGACCACTTTCTTAATTGTCTATGGTGCTGTCAGAGTTCTCAGATGGAGCAGACATCCTCTGGTCACTTTAAGCAAAAAGGGAATCTACTGGAGGCAAGGGGAGGGAGCACTCAAGAGTTAGTAGAAAGTTAGAGAACTTAACTCAGAAAGCAATAACTGCTGGGTGCTGGTGGCTCACGCCTGCAATCCTAGCTACTCAGGAGGCAGAGATTGGGAAGACTGAGGTTCAAGGCCAGCCCAGGGAAATAGTTTTTGAGACCCTATCTCGAAAAAACTCTTCACAAAAAAGAAAAAAAGGGCTGGTGGAGTGGCTCAAGGTGTAGACCCTGAGTTCAAACCCTAGGACCACAAAAAAAAAAAAAAAAGATATATCCATATGGAAAGTTGAAGAATTAAATGTGTTACATAATTTAATATAAAATAGATGGCTTAGATAATAATTACCATAGGATAAGAGTATTTCTTTTTTTTTTGCAGTGCTGGGGTTTGAATTTAGGGTCTACACCTTGAGCCACTCCACCAGCCCTTTTTTTTTTATTGTTTTATTATTCATATGTGCACACAAGGCTTGGTCATTTCTCCCCCCTCCCCCCACCCCCTCCCTTACCACCCACTCTGCCCCCTCCCTCTCCCCCCCACCCCCTCAATACCCAGCAGAAACTATTTTGCCCTTATTTCTAATTTTGTTGTAGAGAGAGTATAAGCAATAATAGGAAGGAACAAGGGGTTTTGCTGGTTGAGATAAGGATAGCTATACAGGGAGTTGACTCACATTAATTTCCTGTGCTTGTGTGTTACCTTCTGGTTAATTCTTTTTGATCTAACCTTTTCTCTACTTCCTGGTCCCCTTTTCCTATTGGCCTCAGTTGCTTTTTTTTTTTTTTATTATTTATATGTGCAAGGCTTGGGTCATTTCTCCCCCCTGCCCCCACCCCCTCCCTTACCACTGACTCCGCCCCCTCCCTCTCCTCCCCACCCCCTCAATACCCAGCAGAAACTATTTGGCCTCAGTTGCTTTTAAGGTATCTGCTTTAGTTTCTCTGCGTTGAGGGCAACAAATGCTAGCTAATTTTTTAGGTGTCTTACCTATCCTCACCCGTGTCTTACCTATCCTCACCCCTCCCTTGTGTGTTCTTGCTTTTATCATGTGCTCAAAGTCCAATCCCCTTGTTGTGTTTGCCCTTGACCTAATGTCCACATAAGAGGGAGAACACCCGATTTTTGGTCTTTTGGGCCAGGCTAACCTCACTCAGAATGATGTTCTCCAATTCCATCCATTTACCAGCGAATGATAACATTTCGTTCTTCTTCATGGCTGCATAAAATTCCATTGTCACCAGCCCTTTTTTTGTGAAGGGTTTTTCCGAGATAGAGTCTCAATAACTATTTGCCTGGACTGGCTTTGAATATGGATCCTCCTGATCTCTGCCTCCTGAGTAACTAGGATTACAGGCGTGAATCACTGGTGCCCGGGCCCATATATTCTTTTTTCTTAAGGAGAATGTTCTTTATTTATACAAAGCATTAAAATCTTCTCAACAGTCTAAAAAATTATCAACAAATTTTTCACTAACAAGTTAACAATGTCCAACTACCTGTGGAACTGGATGGGGTCCCTAAGGTTCAGTTTCTCCAACGAATAAATTTTCTTTCTTTAGGAGCAGCAACAGGGATTAGGGATCTTAACTGCTGCTTATACAGACTCACTAAAATGTCCTATCTGTAGCCATTCATCAACCCTTCCTGGTGATACCAAGTTCTGATTAGGTTGGTGGGGTTCAGAGCTTCATGGTGAAGTATATCACGATAGGGTAGGTAGTCTTTTTTCTTTTTTTTTTTAGACAAGATCTAGTTATTACCCATGGCTGGTCTTGAGACCTATTTGCCCTAGCTGGCTTTGAACCTTTATCCTCCTGATCTCTGCCTCCTGAGTTGATAGGATTACAGCTGTGAGCCACCAACACTGGGCAATTGTACTATTTTTAAGGTTCATACATGTGGTAGAAAGTGTCAGTACATCATTCCCTTTTATTCCATTCATTGGTTGGTGGATATTTGAGTTGTTTCCATGTTTTGACTATTATGAATAATACTGCTGTGAACATTTAAGTACAAATTTTTTGTTAAGTAAATATTGAATAAGTACAAAACAAGTACAAGAAGTAATAAATAAATTTAGCAATGTTGAAAATACAAGATTAATATAAGAAAATTGTTTCATAGGCCAGGCGCCAGTGGCTCACACCTGTAATCCTAGCTACTGAGGAGGCCGAGATTAGGAGGATCACAGTTCGAAGTCAGCCCAGGCAAATAGTTCGGGACACCCTATTTTGAAAAAACTCATCACAAAAAAACCCAAAGAAACACAACAACAACAACAACAAAAAAACAGGGCTGGTGAAGACCTTGAGTTCAAACCCCAATACTACAAAAATAAATAAATGAATAAATAAAATGTGATTACAATAAAAATATTTAAATTGATTTAGAAATCAATTTAACAAAACATGTAAAAACTTCTGACAGTTACAAAATGTTGCTGAAATTGATGAACATGTGAATAAGTGGAAGAATATGCCATGTTTGAATAGTAAGCTCTCAGATGATGTCAATTCTCAAATTGAGTCACACAAACCTAATAAATCTCAGCAAAATTTTAAATTGAGAAGCTGATTCTAAAACATATGGAAATACAAGGGTTACAATATCCAATATAATCTTAACAGAGTGGGGCAAAATGGAAGGACTCAACACAGTCTGCTCTCCATACTTTCAATAAAGTTCCATGCTCTCTATAAAGCTACAGTAATCAAGACAGGTGGTGTTGGCAGAAGGAATGACAAGTAGATCATTGGAGAATAGTGTGCATTGGAGAATAGTGTGCCTAGAAATGGATCTGCACTTATACGGCCATTTGATTTTCAACAAGGCACCAAAACAATTTGATGGGGAGAAAATGTCTTTTCAAAAACGTGTGCTGGGACAGAGGGTATAGCTCAGTGGTAGGACAAACAAGTGAGAGGCTCTAGGTTCAATCCTCACACCAAAAAGAAACAAACAAAAAATATCATACTGAAAGATCTGGTTATACATATGGAAAAAGTGGAATCTCACAGCACACACAAAAGAGTAATTTTGGAAAGATCATAGACCATAAAGCTACTAGATGAAAACAACTTTCTGTGGAAGGTATTCGTCAAAGGTTTCTTAGAGGAGACACAAAAAACAATAGGTACAAATGAAGATACTGATAAATTATATTTCACCAAAATTTAAAATGTCTTACTAAAAGATACTGTTAAGAAAATTAATAGGCGAGCTGGAGGAGTGGCTCAAGTGATGGTTTGTAAGCTTGAAGCCCTGAGTTCAAACTCTGGTCCCACCAAAAATAAAAAAATAAAATATAGGCAAGCCACAGGCTCTGAGAAACTATTTGTAAAATATATATCTAACAAAGAACTGGTGTCCAGAATATGTAAAGGTATTACAACTCAGAAAACTCTATGCAACCCAGTTAAAGACGTGGGGAAGCTGGCAGATTCTGAAGGTTGGCTGGCCACGCAAGCCGATGGAATTTCAATTTGATGGTTTCTATTTACCTCGGTAACACAGACCTGGAGTTTAGAGGGTTGGTACTGGTTTGAGGGGCACTGGTGTGAAAGCCGTTTGGGAAACCTGGACGTGGTGGTAGACTGGTACACTCCCAGGTCTCACCCGGGGAAGCTGAGTCGGGCCGGGTGCGCTGTCAGGGCAACGAAAACTGGGCAGGAGGACTAAGGAGGCAGGTTTTTTTTTTTCTTTTCGGTACTGGGGCTTGAACTCAGGGGCTACATCTTGAGCTACGCCACCAGCCCTTTTTTTGTGACGGTTTTTTTTTATGAGATAGGGGTTCCCTATTTCCCCGGGCTGGGTTCGAATAGCAATCCTGATCGCTGCCTCCTGAGTAGCTAGGATTACCGGCGTGAGCCACCGGCGCCCGGCAAGGAGGCTGTAATTGAACACATTTTCCGAAGCCCAGGCCAGAAGGCAAGACGATAGGTCGTGACAGCGAGTCCGGAAACAGCGGAAACAGTACGGTACGCTCGCGCGATGTCCAGTGCTAAACGTCATCACTCCGCAACGCGACGCCGTAATATGACGCCATTCCCGGAAGTGCCCTCTACGCCGGGCGGTGCAAGTGGCAGCGGAATCCTCCCGGGACTAGATTCTGTTTGGTGGTGTCCAGACAATTTCCCTACGTTTGCTCTCGATTTTCCCTGAGTCTTCCAGATCCGCGTAGGGAGAAAACGTCTCCACCGTCATGGGGGGCGGAGACCTGGTAAGTTCAGGGAGGCCGTAGTAAAGGAGAACTGAGGTCGGAGACCAACTGGGTGGGGAAATTGGCAGGGGCTGGAGTGGAAGTGGGAGGGTAAGTTAGGGGTGGATAACCATGGTAACGAAACCTGGCTTTTTGGGAGGAGGGGGCAGGAGCCCTGGCGAGGAGACAGATTGTTAGCACCATGAAGGGACTGGGCTGAGACTTGGGAAGGAGTGCGAGTTGTGTCGTGAGTGGTGGCTGGTGGCGTGATCCACCCTCCTCAGAGCTGGAAACTGAGAAGGCTGAGGAGTGGGACGGTTGGAACCATGGCTAAAAGAGGAGGCAGAAATTGAGAACATGGCGCACGGATTTTGTGTACCTTATCTTTCTTGGGACACATCTCCCTTTCTTAACTAGTAGTTCAGAGTCTTGTCCTGGACTGTAGTAGGGGTGGTTTGTGCCCCCTCCTCTCCACCTGTGAGCCACACAATTTGGAAGGGTCCGTTGTAAGCCTGAAGGGACCTTCATGTTCACCTTTCAGACTTCCACTGCTGTGTTAATGCTGCATCTGGTCTGTTGTGACAGATTCTATATTCATACAACCTACATAGGTTAAGTGGCAATTACTTTTAAATTGTATAGTTCATTCTCAAGGGGCTAAAACGTCAAATGGGTGAAAGGTACCCCACAGGAGTCCAGTGCATGCCTGTAATCCCAGCACTTGGGAGGTTGAGGCAGTGAGGTTCACAGTTTGAGACCAGTCTGTGCTACATAGTAAGATCCTGCCCTGTCTCACAAACTAAACAAAAAAAAAAAAAAAAAAAAAAGGAAAAAAAAAGGCGTTCTCACTGATGCACGTTTTCCACCTGCCAGTTACCTCGTATTACATTATCTCATCTAGTTTTGCCAACTGGTCTCCAATCTTGGCCCTCTCTCATCCATTCTTCAACTGATAGCTGGTCATGCCTCTCATATGCATATGACCCTTTGGTGTTTCCTGCCATCGACAGGATAAAGTCCAGACCCTTCACATGGCTTGCAAGGCCCTTTCATAGTTGGTTTCATCTTGTGCCCCTTCTCCATCAGCTTGAGCTTCACCTCCAGTCACACTGAATTATTTGTCTGTGTTCTTTTTCACTGCTGTGACTGCAGTTAGAGTGATATTTTCTCTATCCTTGAAGCTAGGGAGTGGCTCAAGCAGTAAGAGAGCCTGCCTGGCAAGTGTGAAGCCCTGAGTTCAAACCCCAGTACCCCAAAAACAAAACAAAAAAAGAAAGAAATTTACCTTTGGGCACAGCTCAAGCTCAAGAGTGCTTGCCTGGCAATTTCAGAAACCTTGAGTTCAAATGCCAATACCACCAAAAAAAAAAAAAAATTAAGAACCTCCCTTCTCCCCCTTTCCCACTTCACCAGGCTAATTTATAGTTGTCCTTACATGTTACTTCCTTAAGGGAAACTTCCCCTGATTGGCAGCCTGACCCAAAGCAGTGACTGATGAAGAGGAAAGTGAAGAGATACATTCTTTGTGGGTGAAGGGGAAGATCAGAACAAAGGGGAAATTCCTGGGAGGGAATGTTGAAAGAGGTCCTAGGTAGATTGTAAGCCTGCCAGTTTAGGAATTTAGGAGTTAAGTGGCTCAAGATAAAAAAGACTGTATTCATAAGAATGAATGTCCAGTGCTACTGAGTTGTTACCTTTCAAAAAACACACCTTCCTCCCTTCTTGGCCCTTTCTGCCTGGCCATCACCAACTCCAACTTTAGGCATGGCCAGTGGAAGTACAAGATGAATGAACTCAGGAAGGGCCTGTTTATGAACTTTATGGAACTTTATGTACTTGCACAACTCCCTCTCACGTATGAGAGATTACAAGATGCAAACCTTGTCATGGTTCAACACATTTTGCTGCCTTTTTTTTATTTTTGGTGCTGGGGCTTGAACCCAGGACCTCACACAGGTCCTCACACAGGAACTTACACAGGTCCTAGCTAGAGCTAGGCAAGTGCTCTACCACTGAGCTATACCCCCAGCCTGATGTCTTGCCCTTACATGCCTGCCTTGGCATGCTTTGGTTATAGGAGGGGCAAGTGAGGCAGTGCCAGTTACACTCATCACTCACCCCTTACTGAATTCTTTCCCAATCCTTTCATTCACCACAGAACCTGAAGAAGAGTTGGCACCCCCAGACCCTTCGCAATGTGGAGAAAGTCTGGAAGGCTGAGCAGAAGCATGAGGCAGAGCGGAAGAAGATTGAGGAGCTGCAACGGGAACTGCGGGAGGAGAGGGCCCGGGAAGAGATGCAGCGCTATGCGGAGGATGTCGGGGCCGTCAAGTAAGCAGGGAGCTTAGTGTATTGGTGTGTAGAGAATGGCAGGACTGGCTGCAGCTGCCACATCAGTATGTAGGAAAGTGAGTGGCAAAATACATGGATTTTGGATTCAGACTGACCTGGATTCTAAGAGTGGCTCTACATGTACTAGCTGTGTAACTGCAGCAAGTTTGGGATAGAATTGAGGAAGGCATGGTACCCAAGTCATTAAGGTTTGTTGATTTTTTTAAACAAAATGTAATATATTTAAGGTGTAAATACATAAAAATAAGAATAAGAATGAAATTTTGTAAGTTTTTTAAATCATAGACACATTATTTTACTTTGTATACTTTATGTAAATTATGTACTTTACATTATAATTTAATGTGAATAAATTTCACATGTTATAGTGAATTCTGGGCAATTTATAAAGGGACCATGAATTGTGACATGTGTAGTTTTAGATTTTGTGAACCCTTGATTTTAAAGTACATTGATTTTAGATTGTGTACTCATTAGTTATAAGAATTAAGTGTTCTACTATACAAAGGTAAAAATTATTATTTTTTTCTTTTTGGTGGTTTGAACTCAGGGCCTCATTCTTGCTAGGCAGGCACCCTTACTGAGCCACTCCACCAGCCCTTTTACGTGATGGGTTTTTTCGAGGTAGGTTTTCAAAAACTATTTGCTTGGGGCTGGCTTTGAACCAAGAGCCTCCTGATTTTTGCCTCCTGAGTAGCTATGATTACAAGTGTGAGCCACTGGTACCTGGCCTTAGGTAGTCTTTTTCTATGCTTATAGTGCATCTGGCTTATAACACAGAGGACCTCTAATATATGTATTATTGAGAATCTCCAAATCCTTTTTTGCAATAGACTGTTTCTTTGGTATTTAACAATAATATTATAAAATTGTATTTCTTAGACAGTGGTTTATAACGGTTTCTCAGCTTTTGCACTGTGGAGTGGGCTTAGAAAATTAAGTAAGTAAAGATGAGAGCAAGTCCCACAATAGCCGATTCCCTTTGAGTAGAAGAGGCTGTGTGGAGTAAGGGCATCTACATGCTTTTTGTTGTTGTTTTGGTTTTTTTTTAGTGGTACTGGAGTTTGAACTCAGGGCCTCATGCTTGCTAGGCAGGCACTCTACCACTTGAGCACTCTGTAGGCCCCATCTATGTGTTTTAAAAGCCCACTGGGGTGATGCAAATGTGCAGCTTTGTTGAAGAACCTGGTCTATATCCTTAATGTTAGCAACAGCAAAACTCTATCGGACCAATTTGCTTTTACATGCTTTCTCTTTAAATATTTTCTCATTAAAAAACTCAAAATAATAACAAGAGGCAGTAGTTACTCATTTTAGAGAGGAGGATAAAGAGCTGCCAGAAGAAACTTGCCTAGAGTGACCCAGTTATTGCTTCTGGTTAGTGGTGGCCCTGGATCCCAGTTCTACGTGTTCTCTTACTAGAGAGCCTGAGTAGGCTGATATGAATTGAGTCCTTTTAAGACTAGGTAGAGCATGAGAGGCAGAAGCAGGAGAATGCAAATTCAACCCCATCTCTTACTACATAGTGAGATACTGTCTTAAAAACAAACAAACAAACTGGGCACTGGTGACTCATGCCTATAATCCTAGCTACTCAGGAGGCAGAGATTAGGAGGATCAAGGTTTGAAGCTAGCCTGGGCAAATAGTTCTCCTTAAGGCCTTAATCTTGAAAATACCCAGCACAAAAAATGATTGGCAGTGTGGCTTAAGTGGTAGAGTGCCTGTCTAGCATGAAGCCCTGAGTTCAAACCCCAGCACTACCAAACAAACAAAAAACAAACAAAAAGACCAGGTAGAACCATGCAATTACTACTTTATAAGAGTATTTGTCTTAGCTGGACATGGTGACATCCATCTGTAATTGCAGCACTAGGAGGCTGAGGCAGGAAGATCTTCAGTTTGAGACCAGCCTATGCTACATAGTGAAATCCTATCTCAAAAAACAAACTCACAAGTGATCCTAGCTACTCAGGAAGCAGATCAGGAGGATCGAGGTTTGAAGCTAACCCCGAGCAAATAGTTCTACGAGACCCTATCTTGAAAACACCTATCACAAAAAAGGGCTGGTGAAGTGGATCAAGGTGTAGGCCCTGAGTTCAAGCCCCCAGTAAGACAAAAAAAAAAAAGTTATAAAGGACCATGGTCTTCCAGTATTGGTTTAAATTATTTTCATTAAAAATGTCCTTGAGTCTGGGAGCATAGCTCAGTGGTAGAGGAGTTGCCTAGCATGGGCAGGGCCCTCCGCTCAATTGCCAGCACTGCAAAAAAAAAAACCAACAGTTTAGGGCCGGTTGTCAGTGGCTCATGCCTGTCATCCTAGCTACTTGAAAGGCAAAGATCAGGAGGATTGAAGTTTGAGGTCAGCCAGCCTGGGCAAAAAGTTTGAAAGACCCTATCTATATCAAAAGTACCCAACACAGCTGGGTGCAGGTGGCTCACGCCTGTAATTCTACCTACTTAGGAGGCAGAGATCACGAGGATCGAGGTTGGAAGCCAGCCTGGGCAAATAGTTGGTGAGACCTTATCTTGAAAATACCCATCACACACACACACAAAAAGGGTTGGTGGAGCGGCTCAAATGGTAGAGTACCTGCCTAATAAGCATGAGGCACCGTGTTCAAACCCCAGCACTCCTTCCCTGGTGCAACACACACACACCCAAAATGCCTAGCAAGTGTGAGCCCTGAGTTCAGACCCTAGTAATGCCAAAAAAAAAAAAAAACTTCAAGTATGCAAGTAGTAACTCATTCTTTGTGATCACAGTCTTACATAGTCTCAAAACAAAACAAATACACAAATTAAACAAAAAATTGAATTCAAAGCACATTCAATTTAATGATATGGATACTGCTTTTTTTTTTCAGACAGGATCTTTTTCTTTCTTTTTTTTTTTGCAGCACTTGGGTTTGAACTCAAGGGCATCATGCTTGCTAGGCAGGAGCTCTTACCACTTGAGCCACTCCACTAGCTGAGGCAGGGTCTTGTCATGTAGACTAGGCTGGCCTCAAACTGGAGATTCTCCTGCCTCAGCCTCCTGAATGCTATGATTACTGGCACTTACCACCACACTGGGTGTTAATAGTGATTGTTTTCTCTTCTTCTTCTTTTGTTTTGAGGCACTGGGGTTTGAACTCAGGGCCTATACCTTTTGTCATTCTGCCAACACTTTTTAGTGAGAAGTTTTTTCAAAATAGGGTCTCTCTAACTATTTGCCTGGGCTGGCTTCAAACTGTGATCCTTCTAATCTCTGCCTTCTGAGTAACTAGGATTACAGGCGTGAGCCACTGGCACCCAGCAGGAGTGGATTTCATTACAATATTTTTATACACATATATAATATGATTTGGTCATAGTTGCCCCATGACCCTCTCTTCTCCCCACTTCCCTCCTTCTCCTTCCTCTTTTCAAATAGTTCCCCTTCTACTTTCTTATCTTTTTAAACTTTTTAATCTAGGTTACACATCTGAGAAAAATACGCAATATTTGCCTTTCTGAGTCTGCCTTATTTCACTTAACATGATACTCTTGCTATACATCCATTTTGTTGCAAGCAACATGATTTCATGAATGTTATTCACTCATAAAAAAATATTGTGTATATACTACATTTTCTTTTTTTTTTTTTGGGGGGACTCACATTTGAACTCAGAGCTTTGCACTTGCAAAGTTGGTACTCTACTTCGTGAGCCACATCTGCACTCTATTTTGCTCTGGTTACTTTGATGATAGGGTTTTATAAACTATTTGCCAGAGTTGGCCTTGAACATTGACCCTCCAGATCTCAGCCTCCCAAGTGGATAGGATTACAGGCGTGAGTCACTGGGACCTGGCCCACATTTTCTTTATCTATTGATCTGTTGATGGGCACCTAAGCTGATTCCATAACTTGGCTATTGTGAATAGTGCTGCAGGTAATACTGTTGATGAAAAAAATGACTGCTTGCAGCATGCATGTTTCATTGCTGTATCTACACTGCTGTTATGAATTCAGCATGCCTAGACTGTCTGTCACATGAAGATTCCATTTTCTCACCAGGTTTCCCCTCCAGAACCACAGGAAAATATTTGCTTGATATGTTACTTTGACCTCATGGGGCCCTCTCTTTTGGCTTAAAGTATCATTTGCTTATTAGTTATCTCTGTTCTTATTGTCTCCCCAAACTTGTAGTATTATTTTTGGTGCCACTGTGCCATGCACCATTATGTACAATGAACACAATGGGATATGTGCTCAATGGCTCTATCAGTTGTTTGTGACAAGATGATGAGGTAGAATTAGCTTATGAATTATTTTATCTTCTAGGTAAAGGCATAATGTAAAGACTTTGTAATGTGGGCTGGAAGTGTGGCTCAAGTGGTAGAGTACTTGCCTAGCAAGCATGAAGCCCTGAACCCCATCATTGCCAAAAACAAGTTAAAATATAGCATAGTTATTAAAAACAAACAAATGGACAAAAAAACTTTGTAATGGAGTGTTCCTCCATTTGGAAGTGTTCCCAAATGGAGGAACACTTCCTCGTGAATTTCTCTGAGTGTGTGAAAAGTATCTCTTCACTCAGTCGGAGGGCCCATGAGGGCAAGCACTTTTTTTTCATGCCTGCCAGGTGGATTTGGTGTTTAGCCCATGGTAGGTGCTTATAGAGTGATTCCTGCTCTGATTAGTTCAAGTTTTTTTTGTTTTGTTTTGTTTTTTGTTTTTTTGTTTTGTTTTGTTTTGGCAGTTCTGGGGTTTGAACTCAGGGCCTCATGCTTGCTAGGCAGGCGTTCTTACCACTTGAGTCATTCCACCAGCCTAATTAGTTCAGTTTTGTGTGTAAGTTTGCAGGAGTCTACTTTCCCTTTAATTGTATTTTTAAGATTTTTTTTCTTCAATCAGAAAAAAAGAAGAAAAGTTGGACTGGATGTACCAGGGTCCTGGTGGGATGGTGAATCGTGATGAGTACCTGCTGGGGCGCCCCATTGACAAGTATGTTTTTGAGAAGATGGAGGAGAAGGAGGCAGGCTGTTCTTCTGAGACAGGACTCCTCCCAGGCTCTATCTTTGCCCCATCTGGTGCCAATTCCCTTCTTGACATGGCCAGCAAAATCCGGGAGGATCCACTTTTCATCATCAGGTACTGCTCAAGGGGTGGGAAGGGGCTTGTTACACAGATGCTCATTGTATTGCCGAGGCTGGCAGTCCTGTTGCTTTGCCGGTGGTTTCTCTTTAGCTTTTATCTGCCCAACAAAAGGATTTGTCTCCATTTGTGCTTCCTGATGATGAGAATGAGTTCCAGTAAGGGTGCCACATCTGGGCTGATGGAAAGATATTGGCAAATGCACCAAACCAGACTAGATTATTCATTTACCTCTGGCCCTTAAACAAAAATGGGAGGTAGAAACATGGTGACAAAGGTTGGCAGCTTTCTGGAAATTTGTGGATGTATTATAGGTGGGTGAATAGGCCTTCTTACCCATATCTTTCTTGTGTGGACCAGCAAAACCCTTTAAAGAGAAACTTTAGAAACTTGGAACCCTAATATGTAACAGGTAAAAGTAGAGCTGCTAAATGAGATCATACTATGTAGATTCTTATTTATTTTGGTTTAATTTCCATAAGTTCTAATGTGTAAAATTGAACATTGAAAAATGTTCATATACATGGTATCATGTTTGTGATACCATGATCATAAAGGTGATTTTCCCTGGGGCGAGGCTTATCCATTGCACTCCAGATGTGCTGACCCCTGCAATTTCCCCAAATGTGGGAAACTTGATTGCATAATTTGTGGTAGTGGGGGGTTGCATTTGCTCTGTCCCCTGAATAAAAAAAAAAGTTTATTTATGTTTTGGCCATCCTAGGGCTTGAATGTGACAGGTGCTTGCTAGGCAGGTGCTGCTTGAGGCATACCTCTAGCTTTTATTTTTATTTTTACCAATACTGAGGTTTGAATGCAGAGCTTTTTTTTTTTTTTTTTTACCTGCACTGGGCTTTGAATTCAGGGCCTCACACTTGCTAGGCAGGTGTTCTTACCACTTGAGCCACTCCACCAACCCTGAATGCAGAGCCTTGTGCTTCCTAGGCAGGTGCTCTATAACTTGACCATACCACCAGCACTTCTTTGTGTTGAGTATTTTTTGTTTGTTTGTTTCTTTTCTTGCATCTTGTGTGTTGGGCATTTTTGAGAACTATTCGCCTGGGCTGGTCTTGAATGGAGATATTCCTGATCTCTGCCTGCTGAAGTAGCTAGGATTACAGATGGGAACCACTAGTGCCTGGCCCTAATAACAAATTCTTTAGGTAGAATTTGTGAGATTGAAGAGTATGTTCTGGCTGCGCTTAATGTTACCAAATTGTCTTTCAGGGAGACCAGCAGTTTACCCTCCTATGGACAGTATATCAGTTAGACATCCTCAAAGAGGAATCAGTCCACTCTCTTACTCCCCAGGTGTTACTATGCTGAATAGAGGAGGCAGTTTTTGAAACATTGCAACTAGTGGCTATACAGGATGATACCCATTTACTTGATCCAGTGGGAAGCCTTGAGCATGAAGCCTGATGAGAAACAGACAGAACTCATTGGCTCGCACAGCAATGCCCTTGTCTAGATGTTCTCCACAATATGCAGTCTCTTCGCTAGATTTGGGGGACATTTCTGCCTTCCACAGCATCTTGCAGATTTCAACACTGGTTTTGTGTGTATGCATTTGGAAAACAGGTTGTTATATAGAATTTGGAGAGAATAACTTAATCCCCTTTCCAAAAGAAATAGTCATGATTTTTATGATTTCCTCTATTTAGGAAGAAAGAGGAAGAGAAAAAAAGAGAGGTATTGAACAATCCTGTGAAAATGAAGAAAATCAAAGAATTGGTAAGTTGTGTATTAAATAAGCATGGAGAGTATCCTTTAGCTACTTAACATGAGAACGAGGACTTCTCCATTTCTTCTTATTTTAGGAGGGAAAACAATGATTTTTTTTTTTTTTTTCTCCTGTTCTGGGGATTGAAACCAGGGCCTTGCTCTTGCTAGACGAGTACTCTACCAGTCCTTTTTTGTCTTGTGTTGGGTTTTGAACACAGGGCTTCATGCTTGTTAGCACTTTTATCGCTTGAGCCACTCTGCCAGACATTTTTTGTGATGAATTTTGAGGTTTTTTTGAGACAGGATCTCCAGAACTAATTACCCTGGGGCTGGCTTTGAACCAATTTTCCTGATCTCTGCCTCCTGAGTAGGTAGGATTATGCCTGTAATCCACCACCTGGCTTTTGTTTGTATTTTGTTTTAAGATCTTAATTACTTTGCCCAGGCTGGCCTCAAACTCAGGCTCCTCCTGCCTCCACTTCCCATGTGCTGGGATTACAAGTGTGTACCACCATGTCTACCTTAAAACTTTTGTTTTTTAGACACCATTTCCTGGTGGTTTTATGTAATATTAATTCATTAAGTTTAGATAAGCTTAATTTCCTCTTTTGTCTTTTGGTTGGTAAAAGCACTGTGTATTGTCATTTCTTTCAGGAAAAAGGTATGAGATACGCCTGTGGAAGGTGTGATCATGCAGTGTTCAGGAGACTAGAGTGTGTGTCCTTGGTTTTTGTATAAAGCTTCTAGGGCTCACTTAACAATCACATGATATGACTGATTATGTGATTATTCTTGTATCAGTTGATAAGGAAAATTAAAGATTGATTTTGGCCTGGTGGAGTGGCTCAAGTGGTAGAGCGTCTGCCCCTGAGGTCAAACCCCAGTACTGGGGAAAAAAAAAAAAAAAAAAAAAAAAAAAAAAAATATATATATATATATATAAAAAGATTGACCTCACAATCTTTGGTTGTTTTAAGAATGAGAATTCTGTCGGTGGTTCATGCCTGTAATCCTAGCTACTCAGGAGGCAGAGATCAGGAGGATCCCAGTTCAAAACCCTACACAAAAATAGGGCTGGTAGAGTGGCTCAAGGTGAAGGCCCTGAGTTCAAGCCTCAGTACTGCAAAAAAAAAAAAAAGAATGAGAATTCCTAGGAAGTAAGTTCTGGGGACTATTTAAAAACTTGAATTCCTTGCCCACCCATCAGAAGTTCTGTTTGGGAGTCAAGGGTGCATTTGTACAAAATCAGGTTTGTTGACAGGAAACCCTAATACTATCCTGGATCTCTGTAGAGGCATAGAATTAACATAGTTTATGCGACACCCAGTCTCCACACAGGAGACTGACGGGGGCTCAGTAATCTTGAATGGTTATGTTCTGGGCATTTTCTAGTTGCAAATGAGTCTGGAAAAAAAGGAGAAGAAGAAAAAGAAGGAGAAGAAAAAGAAGCACAAGAAACACAAGCATAGAAGCTCGAGTAGTGATCATTCCAGCAGTGAGGATGAGCACAGCCGGGGGAGGTGAGCAAGTGGAAGCCAGTCTCCCTCCTTATTGACTGTCTTGCTCATTCACTTCCCTCTGTAAGGAGTGAATAAGAGCACCTGCCCTATGCTGGGAACTGCCAGGCACTGGAGTTTCAGTGGCGAACTTAAGATTCAGGCCCTGTGCCACAGAGCTTGTCAACTGACACTAGAATTCCTTGACTATGCTAAATGCGTGGGTCTAGTGTCCTACTGTAGTGAGACCTCCCTAATAGAGCTAACTTTAGCCTGGCAGATCTTAGGTCATACTTTCTAGTGGGACTCCATTTCATCTCAGCTTGAGTTCTCAGGACTGAAGTGGGTTTTATGTAGGCTTTTTTTTTAATGGGTTAATGGGCCCATGTGGACCATTCTGTGTCTTCCCGAGGGAACAGTCAGCCTCGCTGCTGCTGACTCACGATTAGTCCCTGGAATAGCAACACAAGGTGAGAGGAAAATGTGTTCATGTGCTCGGGTGCTGGGGCTGAGAAGCTCGACCCACGGGTTTTCACAGGAAAAACTTGACTGTGCTGATGCATCTTCCAGCAAAGACAGTCCAAATAGAAAAACATGCTGTCAAGTAATAGCTGGGAGGTGGGAAAGGTCACATGGGAAACAGGGCATGTGTTTCTGCCTGGGAGATTTAAACTGGACCTTGTTTGCATTTTTTTTTTTCTCCAATGAGTGTATGTGTTTCAATATCTTAGGTCTCAGAAGAAGGTGGCAAATTCCTTTCCTGTTTTGTCCAAAGTCCCCGGATATGGCTTACAGGTAAAGATGTGGACTTTTCAAAGGGAGTAGAAAATAAGGAGTGGCCAAATAGGGAGTTTGAACAGTGAAGACTGGGACTTCTGGGGACCTGCTTAGGTCTTATACTTAAACCTTTTACCATGGCCAAGGGTCTTCTGAGCAGAAAAGAATTCACTAGTGAGCTGGGTGCCAGTGGCTTAACGCCTGTAATCCTGGCTACTTGGGAGGCTAAGATCAGGAGGATTGAGTTTCATGGCTAGCCCAGGCAAATAGTTTATAAGACCCCATCTTCAAAATAACCAGAGCAAAATGAACTGGAGGTGTGGCTCAAGTAGAGAGCACTTGCTTTAAGTCCTGAGTTCAAACCCCAGTCCTATCAAAAAAAAAAAAAATCACTAGTGGAGCATTTAGGCATTCTGCCTATCCCTCTGCAGATAATTTACATGAAATGTATGCATTTTCATGGCTTTTGACCAATGGACATCCCTTAGTTTTTTTTTTTTTTTTTTTCATGTTTAGCATTAAATCAAAGCCCTTGCATATGTACTGTACCACTGAGCTACTTCTCTAGCCCGTGATTTTTTTGAGACAAGGTCTTGTCCTGTAGCACATGCTGGCCTGGAGCTTACTATGTAGATTAGACTGGCTTTGAATGGAACTTGCAGTCCTCCTGCCTTCACCTTCCTAGGGCTGGGATTATAGGCATCTGCCACCATGTGTGGCTTTTTTTTTTTTCTTCTATGACATAGATTCTCACTGTATAACCCAGGCTGGTCTTGAATTTTTTTTTTTTTGTCTTTTCTTTTTTTGGTGCTGGGGATCAGGCCTTGAACTCTTGATCCTCCTGCCTCAGTCTCTCCCAAGTGTGGGGATACCTGGTGTGTGTCAATGCACCCATGGCTGTACTAGGGTTTGAACTTAGGACCTACACCTTGAGCCACTCCCCCGGCCCTTTTTTTGTATTGGGTATCTTTAAGATAGGGTCTCTCGAACTATTTGCCCTGGCCTGCCTGGCTTCGAGCCACAATCCTGATTTCTCCCTCTTGAGTAGCTAGGATTACAAGTGTGAGCCACCAGTGCTCAGCTCCATCAGTATTTTTAACCTTTGTGCTCTTGTCCCTTATGCTTCTGCCTCTTGGTCTTCCTTAGACTAATGAAGAGCCAATTTAGGTGATTGGGTGGGTACATCATTTTAGGAAATTCTGAAGATAAGTTTCATCTGTAATCACTATCCGTCCCCTACAGGACCTCATTCCTCATTCTTTTCCTCTTGAACTGCTGGATTTTCTTATGAAAGTTTCTCTTTCCTTTCTTTCCTTAATGATATAGGTCAGGGACTGTGACCGGAACCAGGGACTGCAGGGTCCTCTGATGGCTGAGCAAAAGGGGATGAAGAAACGTTCCAGGTCCAGAAGCAACTCCCACTCTCCCTCTAGACATACCAGCAAGAAGAACACCAGGGAAGTGGGGTTCCGGGATAGGAGGTCTCGATCCCCAGGCAGAACGTCACAGTCCCCAAGGCCCAGCAAACTGTGAGTGTTGGAATTCCCTGGGAAATAACCTGTGGTCCCAGTAGGTACTTGCTTTTTTTTTTTTTTTTTTTTTTGTAGTACTAGGGATTGAACCAGGGTGTCTCTCATGCTAGATAAGGCCTTCAGTACTTGAGGTTGCCCCCACCCATTTGCTTTTAGCAGTGGCCATCATTGATTTTCTCGAATGTCTGTGCTATGTTACATCCTTTGCATCTTTTTTTTCTTACCTAAATGTAAAACTTAGACCCCCTAGGAGCATAGATTTGTAGGAATATACAAATATATATTTTTGTAGATTCCCCCCTCCCTTTTTTTTTTTTTTTTTTTTTTTTTTTGCAGCACTGGGAATGCTTGTTTTGCAGGTGCTCTTAGTGCTTGAGCCACTCAGTCAGCCCTTTTTTATAATGGGTTTTTTTAAGATAGGGTCTTCTGAGCTATTTGCACAGGGCTGGCTTTGAACTGTGTTCCTTCTGATCGCTGCCTCCTGAATAGGATTACAGGCATGAGCCTCCAACAGATTTTCCCTCTTCTTCTCTTCCACATTATAATTTTAAGAGAATTCATTTTTTTGTGGGGGAGGAGGTACTGGGGCTTGAACTCAGGGCCTACACCTTGAGTTTTGTTTTTTTTTTTTTTTTTTTTTTTTGAGAGAGTCTCTTGAACTATTTATTCAGGCTGGCTTCAAACGTTGATCCTCCTGATCTCTGCTTCTGAGTAGCTAGGATTACAGGCATGTGTCACTGGTGCTCATCAGACACTTCTTTCTTTTTCCATTGTTTGAAGGATATATAATAAACTCCTATGTTAAGAATTTTCTCCTCTGTGTCCATTACAGGCACAACTCTAAGGTAAACAGGAGAGAGAGGACCCAGACTAAGAGCCCATCACCTAAAAAGGAGGTCTACCAGAGGCGGCATGCTTCTGGATATACCAGGTAAGTCAGGAGTGCAGTAGATTAACTGTAGATTCTGTAAGACTGCATCTTGAAGCAGCTAACACCAGGACAAATGGATAATCTGTCTAACCTTTTTTTTTTCAAATCAACTTTTATTCAATTGATGACTTTCTTTTTGTGGGGCCATGGGATTTGAACTCAGGGCTTCTTGCTCTACTGCTTGAGTCACACCTCCAGTTCATTTTGCTCTGGTTATTTTGGAGATAAGGTCTCATGAACTATTTACCCAGGCTGGCCTTGACCCACGAACTTCTTGATCATTTGATCACCTTCTAATGGCCTTTCTCCCACCCTCCTACCGTGTGAGGTACATTGAAAGGACAAAGTCAATAGTTCTGACTTAATAACAACTGTGGGGTTTTTTTTGTTTTGTTTTGTTTTTTTTGAGGTACTGGGATTTGAACTCAGGGCCTACACCTTGAGCCACTCCCATTAGTGGCTTTTTTTGTGATGGGTTTTTTTTGAGATAGGGTCTCAAGAACTATTTGCCTGGGCTGGCTTTGAACCCAATCTCTGTCTTCTGAGTAGCTAGGATTACAGGTGTGAACCACCAGTGCCCGGCTAAGAACCCTTTAACGTTTCTTTCTTAGGCATCCACTGAAAGAGAAGCAAGATGCTTTCCTTGTGGGTAGAGCTGTGTGTAGAGTGGGACAGACAGACCATGGGGGTATGGCCCTGGGACCTGTGAAGACATGGCTATGCCCATGAATAGCTATTATTGGGGGTCTAGGTTGCTCTTAGTAGAAGTTTAGATGAGGTTGGCAACTTTTGTGAAGTTCCATTTATTGTTCTCTGGGTTGTATATACCAGCATTTCTAAACAAATTGGCTGTACATTAGAATGACCTGTGACACTTCATCCTATTTTATCATAATCTCTAGGGGTGGATCAGATACCAATATTTTTAAAGCTGCTTGGTGATTCCAGTATTGAAAAGGAAGATTTTTTATTCACTATGTCGTTTGGAATATTAAGGTCCCTTTTAAGTTAGCCACTCAATTCCCTTTTTAAAAAAGGTTTTAATATTTTGACTGGCACCTTTCCAAAGTATGTTACCTATTTCTCTGCCTTCCCAGACAGAGTACATTTCACATAACTCAATCTTATTAATGACATGGGAGTCAGTCCTCCCCAACTGTAATTCACACTGCACTTAGGGATGCTCATGTATTTTTTTATTTATATCTTAAGGTTCTTGGTCAGCACATGACTCTACTTTTTCAGATCCTGCTTTATTTCTGTTTCTCTTACCATCTGCCATCACTTGAATTTGTCTTATTTTGCCAGCTTTTCTTATCGTCCTTAGATTTTTTTTTCTACTTCTATTTTATCATTTTTACATTTACTTACATGTGTATACATTGTGCCACCTCCCCCACTTAGATTTTTTGTTACTGTTTTTTTGTGGTGCTGGTGATCAAATGCAGGGTCTCATGCACTGAGCTATTCCTCCAGCCCTTCCTGCTGAATTTTACAATTTAAAATGAGTGAAGAGCCAGGCATGCTAATACGTGCCTATAATCCCAGCACTCAGGAGTCAGAGACAGAAGGATCTCAAGTGTGAGGCCTTCCTGGGCTACAGAGCAAGACCCTGTCTCAAAAAACAAACAAACAAAAAAATGAGTTAGCTGTAGTCCCAGCTGAGGGAAGAGAATCACTTCCACTGAGGAGTTCAGGGCCAGTCCAGGCAACATAGCAAGACCCCATCTCAAAAGAAGTAAATAAAATGAAATAAAATGAGTTATAGCTTTAAGGACTTCTCTCTTCCAGGAGTAAAACCACAGCAATTTTAATGCATGGATCTTTCGATACCTTTTTTGCCTGTTTAAAGAGCTGTTTGGGTTGGTGTTCCGATAGTTGAGATTGTTTTATGTAACCTGCTATTGAATTAAGACAAAAAAAGGAATGTTTATGGCTGTAAAATCTTTCTAATCGATTAGTGCTACAGAATCATTGTTTCTCAGACTGAGAGGTACTAGATGTTTTCTCAAGGGCCCAAGAGTTCTGTGTGAGTCTAAAAATTTTTGTGTTTTCATTTGTGTGGTGATCTAAAACAACTTTCTTATCCGTTGAAAAGATGGAGCTTGTCTTTTGCAGTGAGATTCTCAATTTAAAGTAATCTCTTTTTTTGGTATTTATTTATTTATTGGGATGTGGGGTCTCAGGACGGCCTGCAATTTGCTATCTACCTCTGCCTGGCCTCAAACAGGTGATCTCTTGACTCAGCCTCCCAAGTGCTGGGATTAGAGGTGTGCACCATCACACCTAACAATTGTAAAGTTTTGAAAACTTTTGGTTTGTGCTTTCTCTTTTGTCCAAATACCCTTTTCCATTTGTTTTGGTGTTTGTCTTTCATTTTGACTATTTCCTGGTGATACTTCACTATTTATTCGTATTTAAGACTGAGGTACAAAAGAGCTGGACATACGGATTTATTAAGAGGGCTCATCTACTGGTAGATTATTGGGTTTGAACTGTTTTTTAGCTGGGACATTCAGCTATCAGTATCTTTGATTCTCTTATCAGGAACTAATAAATTTCTCCAGAGGAAAATCTTGTGGTTGCTGACCAAGGAGCTGTAAGTCTGGCTGCTGGCATTCTGCGAGTGAGCACAGATTCCAGCAGGAGCTGGGAGTTTCAGTGTGGAGTATGAACTTTCACTTCATCCTGTTTGCAGTTTGCTGGCCTGGCAGCTTTCTGTGCTGTACCTGGTGCCTTTGCATCTTCTCATCTCCTGTCTGGTTCCATTCCTTCAGAGTAAACTGAGGGTCTCCTGGAGGTGTTAGGCAGAGTAGTCCCTGGCTTCCCCAAGTTAGGCATGAAAAGCAAGGGGCCTGGTACAGGGTTTAGATGAGTCCCTTTGTATTCAGCCCTATGCTTCCATCCTCTGAAGTGCTTGCTGCCTGTGGTCCTTGAACCTTCCCTGGATGGTATAGCTTATATCTGCTGGCTTCTCATCAGTGTCAGGCACTTTGTGTTCAGTTTCTTCAATCTCCTCCATCCACTTCCATTTTTCCAACAAGTGATTCATTAACATCTCTTATCCAGTGTTACCTCCTTTTCTGTTCTCTTTGTGGTCTAACCTATTTTATTAAGTGGGTTTTTTTGATAAGGGAGTATAGTCATTTTACCATGGATAACTAAATTTCAGTTTTTAGTGTTTAAATTTATTTCTCAAAATGGGAGTCCCTTATGGAACTTCAAAAATTATTTTTCTTTTTTAAATTTTATTTTTGTAAATTACTATACATTAACAATACAGGGGGATTTCATTGTGATAATTCTATAACATATACCCATTTGAGAAATAATGGATTTGGATGTCTGACACTGTTAAATAATAAGCTGGTTCTTCACCTCCTTTTCTTTTTTTTCCCCACCCTGTGTTTCCCCATTCACAATACAGACCAGGCCCTGTGCCTGGGCTGAAGTGTATATGGTATATGTTTTCTTTGGCCTCCTCTTTCTATAAAGTCAGTGTAAGAACACAGCCTGTGGTGAGCACCAGGAGGCCATTCACCTCCTTTTCTTGCTATAACTTTATTTGCAGTGAGTGCCAGGGGAAGACCTACCTATTAGTTTCTGAGGCTAAGTTAGGTCAGGTTTTTGTCATCCCCCTGAGTCCTGAAGTGGTGCACTCATGGACTACATCTATAAATTTCTCTTCTTTTTTCTTTTTGGTGGTACTGGGGTTTCTTTTTGCTAGGCAGGTGCTCTACCACTTGAGCCACTCCACCAGTCCCTGTATCCATGAATTTCTAAGCATCTCTTATGGGTAGGTGGTAGATATCAACAGTGACATGGATAATCTAGTCCTCTGTTCTTCTATAAGTTGTTGGGCAATGGGGATGTAATTGCTGTAAGCTTATGTGCCTGATTAGTTCTCAATTTATTTCATATTGTTATTTATTACCCTAGAAATCACTGAGTGAGATTTTGGAATCCTTCACTGAAAGTCTAAAATGTGCTTGAGACCACCTGCTCAGGATGTTAAAGGAAGGAATTCAGGGTAGTGTGGCACTAGGCTGCGCATGTATGTGGAGACAGCCATAAGCTGGAGCGCCTGGGTTCCTGCCTGACCTCTGTCTCTCTGTTTCTGGTTTACTTGCTGGGAGTGAGGTAGAACTGATGGGATGGTTTGTGTGCACAACAGAAAACTCTCAGCTGAGGAACTAGAGCGAAAACGGCATGAGATGATGGAAAATGCTAAGTGGCGGGAGGAAGAGAGGCTGAACATCCTCAAAAGGCATGCCAGGGAAGATGAACAAGAGCAGAGGCTGGAGAAGCTGGACTCCCGGGACGGGAAGTTCATCCAGTAAGTGCATCTTCTTCCTGCCTGCAGCTCATATGGGCATGGTCTCCAGGAGACAGTTTGGCCTTGGGTTCTTTGTGTTCCAGGGTGTTTCTGTGTCTGCATTGGGAGAACAAATATCAGGACCACCTTTGATATTGCTTCCTTCAGACAATTGGAGTTGGCTTTCTTTTTTTTTTTTTTTCAGTACCAGAGTTTGAATTCAGTGCCTTGTTCTTGTTAAGCAGATGTCCTACCACCTGAGCAACATCCCCAATCCTTTTGCTTTTTAGTAATTTTTAAAAATAGGGTCTCACATTTATGCCTGTGGTGGGGGGAGGGGACTGCCTTGAACAGTGATCCTCTTGTTTACAGTTCCCAGGCAGCTGGGATAACAGGTATGTACCACCACGCCCAGCTTTTTTTATTGGTTGAGATTGTGTCTAGAGAATTTTTTGCTAGGGCTGGCCTTGAACTTGTGATTCTTCTGATCTCCGCCTCCTAAGTAGCTAAGATTACAGGTGTGATTCACTTTGGCCAGTCAGTGGGAGGTCTTTGATTTGAAGGAGAGAGAAGTGAATTGGTATTTTTTCCTAAATCGCTGAAATTCCTTGGCCTTCTTTTTACAAAGAAGAATTTATGGTTCAGAAAGCCTTTTTTTCCAATGAGACTTTGACTTTTTTTTTCAAAACATGAATTTTTCTCTTATGGGCATTAAAAAAATTTGGTTCCAGATGGAGTCACTTGGAAATTATCTATGTGGGCTGAAAAGAGTTTGTGTTTCTACAGTTGCTTTATCGCTACCAATCTGTTTCTTCTAATTCTGCCAGAGAATTGACCAATTCAAAACATTTTTTGTTTCCATTCACCTGTGTTCTCTTCCTAGTCGCATGAAGCTAGAAAGTGCATGTACTTCCTCCTTGGAAGATCGAGTGAAGAGGAACGTCCATTCTCTGCAGAGAACTTCAGTAGACCTGGAGAAGAACTTTATGAAAAGATGAAAGCCATCCCCTCTCTTACTGGCTTTTCTGAATTTTCCAGGGAGGCTGGTGACCCTTAAAAATTCTCTTTATAAGAGTTCAAATGGTTTCTTCTATAGATGTCAAACCACCACTGTTCAAAGTGACCCGTGTCCATTGATTCCTGAAGCACCTTACCACATCCTTTGAGAACCATTGATTATGGGACCCTCAGAAACTTTTGCTGGGGGCACAGTGGTTTTGACTGTGTTTTAATGAGCAGGCACTGGTTGGTCATCCTACTCTGGAAAGATGCTCCCTGAGCTTGTGATGTTTGTCACACCTCTTCCCTTCCACCTGTGAACAGACCTATTCCACTGCCTCACTACAAACTGGACCTTTCAGAACCTCTCTCCAGAACCTCTCATAGATTGTGCTTACCAGGATAAATGAATATTTACATGCTTAGCAGATAATGTAACAGAATGACGTCAGTTTAAGGCAGATCCAAGAGTGTGACCAAGAAAGAACCTAGAAGAGAAAATAATAAAGAGTCCTAAATGAAATGTTAGCTATTTGGTCTTTGAATGGTAAAAACATATTGTGTATATGTACAAATCTATATTTTTTTTACTTGTTTTAAAAAAAAAGTTAATGTGTGAAACCATCTTGTAATTTTACTATGTATAGAAATACATTGAACCTTGTTAGTGATAGTGAGGCAGATTGGCTCATTTTTCTCTCTGAATCAGGCAGGTCTGGAAGGAACCTGAGTTTATTGATAGAATCTAGAGTATCCTTTTCCACTGCTTAGTCTCAGATGTAGGAGTACAGCAACAAAGACAAATGATTTGAGGAGTCAGGACCTCACTGCCAGTATTCTCTATGGCTCCTAAAAGAAAATAAAATGGAAGCTATTTGTTTCATGGCTGCTGCTGCTGCTTTTTAGTCATGTAGTAACCTTACAATTTTAGATTTTTAGCAGTCATTTTTAGTCAGCTATTACAAAAACAAAAGACTCAAGGAGCCCTCATCTGACCAGGGAACTCCTAGGCACTCTTGACCTGTCACACATTATCTGGGCAATTTCCTTGTTCTACTAATTCCTAATTCTGCTTCAAATGTATTTGGGTTTTTATTTTTGAGCACTTATGCCAGTCACTGTAATGCTTAAAACCCAGTTTTTCCCCAGAGAATGTAACATTACTCATTAATCACCTCATCCTGCTGCCCTCTGCTACTGTTAATTATGGTTTTTATCCTATTACTTGGTAATAATAAAGGCTACATTTATTTTTGTAACTGTGTAAAGAGTGACCACGTGCGTAGTACCGGGTTTTCATATTCCCACACCGAATGTTAATCCGTGATTTGTGTCAAATATGCACAGATCCTTCCTCCCAGAGGAGTTATGTAACAAAGCGTGGGCAGTTTAGTTAGAATTCATAGAGCAAGCCACAGAATGAGACGATTATTAGGGTAGGTGTCTGCAGGTGCTGGCGGTCTCTTGACCCTTAGGCCGATAGAGGCCAGACGACAGGTGGGTGGGCGCGGGGCCCATTCATAAATCCCAGGGTTCTAGGTCTGCCCCTCTCATTGGCCCTGGGGAAAGGGGCGTGCCCCGCGGGTGGAGCGCGCCCTCGGCTCAGGGGAGTGGGAAGATCCACGCTTGGGTGGAGCGAGGGGGCGTTCCCTGGTTTTCCAGGCTGGACTTCCTTTTTCCCTTGCTGTGTTCCTGCTCTGTCCCCCGGGGTGGGGATGGTACGTCCCACCCTCCTCGCATTCTAGCCCCTCGTCTCCTCCCGCAGCTGTGGCGCCGCCGCCATCTTGGCACCCCAGGTTGAGGGAAAGAGCTAAATCCTAGCCTTGGGGGAGTGCCTGGTCAGGGAGCCCCTCCCACAGTACACAGTGAAATTTGCCCATCCTTCTTCCCCTCGTCTCTCCGGCGCGGGGCTCTGAGGCGTGCGGAGGCCAGCCCTCTTCTTGACGGGCCCGAGAGGAGGGGCGGGCGGGGCGGGCGCTGCCTACCCGGGACGGGCGGAACCATTCAGGCGGGGAGGAGAGGGCCTGGTGACGGCAGGCAGCGGTACCGCCCGGGGGCGGTGTGCGGAGCGGGCTGGCCGGCTCCCTGGGGCGGGGCGGGGAGGGCGGGGCGTGGGGCGGACGGAACCACCGGGGCGGGGTGGGGAGGTAACGGGACGGGCGCGACCATGGCACGGTGAGGCAGCGGGGGTGGGGATCCGTCCGGGGGAGGCCTGGGGCCGCTGGCTTGTGTGCTGTCTCCGCCGCCTCCCGTTTCGCCGCCGCCGCCGCCGCCGCCCCGGGCATGTCGTCCAACTGCACCAGCACCACGGCGGTGGCGGTGGCGCCGCTGAGCGCCAGCAAGACCAAGACCAAGAAGAAGCATTTTGTATGCCAGAAAGTGAAGCTATTCCGAGCTAGCGAGCCGATCCTCAGCGTCCTGATGTGGGGGGTGAACCACACGGTAACCACCTCCCCCAGCGCGCGCCCCGACGCCCCCCACGCCCCCGGCCCTCGCCCTGCGGGCCCTGCGGGTAACGCCTGCCAGTCCTCGCCAAGCCACTTGCACGCCCGCCCACCCTTGCACGCCGTCCGGCCGGGCGTGCACTCCCCGCACGCCACGCGAGGCCTGGTGTCTCCGTGGTATGCGGGCGCCGTCTCCTTTCCCTGCAGCCCCTCTGGCTTCCTGCGTCGTGTGCGCGATCGGGCAGCCCCTGGACCTCCGAGGGAAGGCCCGGGTGCAGCAGGATCGCTTTCGCTCCCTCTGCCTCTTCTCAGCTCACCGTGTTTGTTGCATGTATATTCCCTCTTGTCCCTTAGAGCCGGCTGCCAGATCATTGTCCCGTTGACAGGGCAAGTGGCACTGGCCTGCCTGAGTATTCCTCTGTTTCTGGTCGTTTGGGTGGTGTGGCTGCTCAAAGTTTCCCATCCTCCAGACCTCTTTACCCCTGACTGTGGAAATGCTCGCCGGCTTTCTTTTTCTTCTTTTTGAACAAGATGTATCAACTGGAGAAGCACAGGCTTCAGTGAGCCATAGACACCGGTTACCAGGGTCTCCCTGGGTGAGGGAGAAGAGTAAATGTAACCATCTGAGAGGACTGGAGGCCTGATTATAAGGACTGTTCCTAGTAGAAAGAATGTGTCTTCCCTATTCCAAGTGTTCATTTCAAAGACATTGTCTGTTGACTTCTCGTCTGTCATACGGTTTTTGAGGATGTGATAGTGGTGATTATTGTCCTAGATGAGAGGCCCCCCGAGTCCTGGGTGCTTCCAGATTGTCCAGTAGCCTTTGCCAGGAAATTGGGTCTGGACAGTGTGTGAGCTGGATGGATGATTTTGTTTATGTGCTGTTTGTTTAGGGCCGGTCTTCCTCTTCCAGCTACTTTCTCCTTGCCTTCTGACCATTTCTTTATGAGTCCCTACACTGGGAATGAGCAGAGGAAGTAAAATGACCTGAACACCAACTTTGCCAACCAGAAGTTTGGAATGAGGAAAATGAAGCTTCAGGTTTCCTGTAGCTTTCAATTGTTTAGGCTCCCTGGCTTTCTGAACACTTGCGATTGCTCCTAAGACCAAGTGAAGACCCAGGGGCTCTGGGCCAGTGGGACTTTGCTTTGATAGAGAAGCTAGAGGTGGCTTTGGCTGGAGAGTAAGGAACCACAGTCTCAGCCAGTGTTTTAAGATCTCTACTATATCTTCTGTATTTCTCCAAAATAGAAAGGCACGTGTACATGTGAGGTCCTTGCTGATGTCTTGGGCAGGTTACTGTTTTCACTTGTTATCCGTGGAGCGAATGAGTGTCCTGGAAGAGTAGGTAGCTACTTTGGGCCAACAGTCCAGCAGAGTTTGTTCCCCCTGCTTTTTGCTGCCTCCAGGGTCATCTGACATTTCTAGAGAAACTGGGTCATCAAAATGTGAACCCTGTGTCCCCTTCTGGAAGTCAATGCTTGATTTTTGTCCTACATCCTGCTTCTCACTAGAAAGCATCCTGTCTGTGTAGAGGACTGGTAGAAGCCTGAGAGTCAGGAAATTACAGTGTGCTGGAAGGAACTCTGGGTCTCTTATTTCACACATGGAACGGAGGCCCTGGGAGGAGGAGTAGCTTGCCTGTGGTCACAGCAAAAGATGCAGCTTGTTTAGCACCACGGGCTATGTTGGCCAAAGGTGGTGCTTGAGTGGCTTTCACTCAGGCTGTTCTTTTCACTCTCTCTGTCACGTTCCAGGCTAGATGAGAACTATGATCTTACTAGAGAACTTAAGTGTATGCTCTGGGGTGTGCCTACCTGTGTGTGCCAATTCCTGGGAGCCTGCATGGTGCTTTGTTTTCTAATGGGTACACAGTGTGTCTGCCCAGATGTGGGCATCAAATGGGAACTTCTGAATGCAGATGTTCATGTTACCTTCTTTCTTGGATTACTTTAAGATAGTTTCAGGGGCTAGCTGGAAAAACATTGGCTTTAAGCAAGATCCATGCTTTTTTGAGTATGATGACTGTGAGAACTCCTGCCCTGGGCAGGTAAGCTTTGAAGGTCCGCCCTGTATTTTATGGCTTCATCTTAGCCTACAGTAAGGTCTATTGGGAGACATGTGCCCAGAGAATAGGGTGTAAAATCTTACAGTTCTCTAGAGGGAGGACCATATCTTAGTGTATTGCTAGCCTTTCTTGGAGGTTCCCTTCCTTAAAAACCTGCTGTCACACTTTTTTCCCCCCATCATGTTCAGATATCACCTTTTCTTTGACTCGTTAATTTCTCCCCATTTAGGCATTTAGTCATGTTGGTCTATGGCTTATCAGATGTGAAGGATGGATAGTCTTTATTGATAGGAAAAGCCAGTTACTCTCTCATGAGTCAGTTGGTTTACTTCTGGGTGGAACTCAGGGTTGTTGTAGGAGCTCCTCTCATAAATAAAACATGTAGCCCCTGGTCTCTGGAGGAAGAGTGTGTAGGAAAAAAGAAAAATCAGAAGGATTTCGACCTGTCAGGAGAACTAGTTTTAGTGGTTGAAATATAGTTCAAAGGGTCTGGACTAGCCAGGCACTGTTGGCTCATGCCTGTAATCCTAGCTATTTGCAAGGTAGAGATCAGGAGGATCAAGTTCAAAGCCAGCCCCAGGCAAATAATTTTTGAGACCCTATCTTGGAAAAAAACAAAAAAGGATTGGAATTAAGAAATAGATGCCTTTGGAAGAAGCACAGAAGCAAGGGAGGCTAATCTGTCCATACTGGTTGGCCATTTTAGCAACCAGGTATGTGTGCCCTTACCTAGGTGATCAGAGGAATAGGAGCACTTGATGGTACCTGTAACTTTACTCGTTTGAAAAACTGCCACACTGTTCTCCAGAGTGGCTTCGCCATGTTCATTTCTACCATTTGCATGTGAATGTTCTAATTTTTCCAGATTCTTGTCAATATTTGTTACTGTCTTTTAGTACAGGCATTCTGGTGGGTACGAAACAATATCTCATTGTGATTTTGAGTCGCGTGATAACTGATCATATTCATATTAAGCATCTTTCCATGTGGTTATTGCCCATTGTATATTTTCTTTGGAGAATGGTTATTAAATCCTTTGTGCATTTAAAAAAAATTGTGCTCTTTTTAAATTGGGTTGCCATCTTTCATTGAGTTGTAAGAGTTCTTTATGTATTGTGGATACAAATCCCTTATCACATATATAATTTGCAAATATTTTATCCTATTCATGAGTTGTCTTTCTCATTTTCTTTATTTTATTTTATCTTCTCCTCTTTTTTTTTTTTTCAGTGCTGGGGGGCTCTGACCCAGGGTCTTATGTGTGCTAGCTATACCTTCAACCTCTAGTCTCTAGTCCTTTTTTTTGGTACTGTGGCTTGAACTCAGGGCTACACCTTGAGCCACTCCACCAGCCCTTTTTCATGATGGGTTTTTTTCAAGATAGGGTCTGGTGGAATTATTTGCCCAGACTGGCTTTGAACCACTATCCTCCTAATCTCTGCCGCCTGAGTAGCTAGGATTACAGGAGTGAGCCACTGACATCCGGTTTCCTATATTTTCTTCTAAGAATTTTTTTTTTTTTATAAAGTTTGACTGTGGTCAGAACTCTTAACATGAGGTCTACTGCCTTAGCAGTTTAAAAGTGTACAACTCATTGCTGTTGACCATTGGTACAGTACTGTAGAGCAGATGTCCAGAGCTTACTCATCTTGCTTGATGGAAACTTTATGCCATTGACTTCTCATTTCCCCTTCTTCCCAGTCCTGGCAACCACTGTCCACTCTTTGTTTCTATGAATTTGACTATTTTAGATACCTCAGTAATGGGAATCATACAGCATTTGTCTTTTTTGTGGCTGGCTTTCTCCACTTAGCATAATGTTCTCAAAGTTGATCCATGTTATTACATATGACAGAATTTCCTTCTTTATGGCTGAATAGTATTCCAGTGTGGGGATATTCTGCATTTTATTTATCTGTCTGTCCACAGGTTTGTTTCTACATCTTGGCTCTTAGGAATTGTGTTGTAGTATATATAGTTTTAGCTCTTTAGGTCTGTAATCCATTTTGAGTTATATATGTGTGGAACAGATTCATTCTTGTATCTGCTCTGTTACTCTCCTATTCACCCTCATTCTGTTCACACATTTTCTCTGTTTAATGCAGACTCAGAACTTTCTTAACCTACCTGTTTTTCCTTGCCCTGCTGCTTTAAAAATCTTTACATTTAATTTGGTCTTTAGATGAATTTGTCTTTCAACAGGTCCTCCCACCTTGCAGGGAACAGTGAGACTCAAACAGGAGAAAAACCAAGAGGTATGAAATTGAGGACCAAAGACAAAGGCGGGTGTCTGTTCTCTCCCTTCTCTTCCCTGGAGTTTCAGGTCTTGCTTGGGCCTCCTGGGTCCTAGGAATGTGTTTCCCAGCACATTGTGTTCTCTGGCGGCAGATAACGGCAGGTAACAGATGAGCCTATGCAGGGAAGTGGGGCTTCTGGAATTAGAAGCCCACTAGATTAGATGGAGTGACCGAATTTTCATCTCCATTAGAATTGGCATGGAGTGGACTCTTGTTCCTAAATTGTTTCTCTTTTTCTTTTTGAGTAGGGTCTCAAACTTAGCCCAAATTGACCGCAAACTCAAGATCTTCCTGCTTCACTGGAGATTATAGGCATGCACCACGTGTCCTGCCTAAATAGTTTCTCACTGAGCTTGCTTAACCTCCTCATTATTATGTTGATGGCTCTTGGAGTTAATCACGTAGCTAATCCAAAACCACTTCCAGGAGATGAAATTCAAGAACCTCACCGGGCGCTGATGGCTCACCCCTTTAATCCTAGCTTCTCAGGAGGCAGAAATCAGGAGGATCCCAATTCGAAGCCAGCCTGGGCAAATAGTTCTCAAGACCTATCTTGAAAATATCCATCCCAAAAAAGGGTTGGTGGAGTGGCTCAAGCTCCAGTACTGCCAAAAAAAAAAAAAAAAAAAAAAA